GATTGTTAACTGGGATCGAACTCCACCCAACCCAACCCAGCCCAGCACAACCCAGCGCCAGCCGTCTGCTTTCTCCAGCCGGGCCAGAGTATCTTTCTGTTTTGGGACGATGGCTCTGCACGGAGATAAGTCGCCAGTCCAGTAGCCAGTGCTACTGGCTTGCCTCATTCCACACCTTTCCAAAAGGAGCACCAGTTGGAGAGTGTCCTGCTCTTGATGGGCTGCGCCACTGGCGCAGGCAGCAGGACTTGCAGCAGGATACAGTATCAGGAGGAGGGGGGCCGAGAGAAAAGTCCATGCAAATGCGCTGGAGCATCTGGAGGATCGAGCGAGCTGCAGATCGTGTGAACGAATTCACCAGCTCTGCTCTGCTCTGATCTCGCTCGGCTCTCGCTGCTTTGCGTGTGCGAGATTTTTTGTTCCTGACTGCAGTGGCGAGCAGATTGGTGGATACAGTATTTTGGTGCGCTAAGCAGCTGAGGTAGCGGCTGCTTGTGCTATCAAGAGTCTATCAAGGGAGGGGCGAACAGTTGTTCCTGCTAATGATGAGGCATCATAAAGGAAGGGGCTTCATGTCTGGATGAGGGAAATTGTGGGCTCGTACTGCAAGTCCACCATCATGTACTTTCTGGAATGACAGGCGACTTTTCGAGCAAATATATTAGGACACATAGAGAACATTTATGGCCGACCGATTTCTTAAAGGCACCATCCAATTTTCTTTTCCGGTAGCTGGAATCTGCTCGATCCGAATATGACTGTGCTACGATCGCAGCCCCCCCCCCCCCGCACCTACATTTGTTTAATCTCAGACAATGTGGCGTCTGCCACATGAAGATGCACCGCTCCGCCCGCCCGCGCAGGCTGCCAAAGCACGAGAATGCCGTCCCGTCTCCATTTCTCAATCTCACCAATAAAACAAGAATCATCTTTGCATGAGCAGGCCGAGCCCATTCGAGCACATTTTTTTCATGGCCCGATGGGTGGATGGATTGGATGGATGGCATCAGGCCTAGCACCGCTAGCGCTAGCGCTAGCCCTCGCCTTGGCTCGACTGATCGAGCCAGAATTTCCCCTCCCAGCCAGAGTTCGGTATAGCTAGAGCTAGAGCTAGCGGAGAAGCCACCACCTTCCGCAAAAGAGGACCAATAATGGCCCATCGCAAGTATCATCATCAGGCCTGTAAATATTCATATTTTTATCCCCTGACTTCCCGAACGAAAAGTACTTTTCGGGCGAGGAATCCGTCCTGCAAGATCTGGATCCTGACCCAGAGGTGAACTTGGGCAAAAGGACGAGATGATAAGACCTGGCTGCCGAAGACCACAATCTTTGACTATCTTTTCGCTGCAGACTCCAGCGTATCATGTCCTCTGGTGTTTCCACGCACTCCGTCTATCCCAACTCGGATGTTGCGACGAATCCCACTTGTCCCCCTACCATAACTTCCATAGAGAGGTATCCGCCATCTACCCCGATGTAAAGTGCAGTGCAGTGCAGTGCTCCGTTCCGTTCCATGGGCAAAAGGCCACGCCCTGAGAGGTGAACTCACCAACAGACCTACGACCTCGTAGGCCACCGTAGATCGCCTCTAAGGCAGTTTTGGTTGAGGTGACTAGTTCATGTTTTGGCTTAGGAATGGACCGACATGTCTAGAACAACAAGGCAGGCCTAGTCCAAGATTGGAGGTTGAACAAAAGTGGAAGAAAGTGCACCCTCTCAAGAGCCTCCTGCAGCAGAGTATATGCAGCAGGAGAAGCTTACAGTCTCAACTCGTCTAGACTGGACTCGACCCCATGGCTGAGGCAGACAGACAGAGACCAGCTCGGCTTCGGTGTGTGGAAAGCTGTAAAGGGGAACAGAAATCTGTCTGAGTGTTAATTTCGATCTCTCCCCGACTTCCCATTGGGACCAGGTCCGGTCTGTGTTGGGTTGCATTCATTTGGCTCGCAGTCTACACGCGTCATTTAAAGGAGGGGCATGGGCTGGGCTGGGCGAGGTGCCATGAGAGCCGGGAGCCTAGTCGATACTTTGATGCTCGAGAGATTTTTTGAAGGCCGGGAGATGATTACTCGACCTTGTCCGATGTCCGAAACGATTTGGCAGATTCGGTCGAGGTTTTTTTAAATTTCTGTTCCTTCAAACACTGTTGGCTACGAGTTGAGTTTTATTCCATTGTTGTATTGGGATTCGCCATATTCTTCTTCCAACTTGCAACTATTCCTCTTTTTTCCCACTCAATGAACAAGTTGATACTTTCATGCTCGAGATCTTCTAACAGTTGAAGCATACTATTGAATAAGTTCGATGAAGTCACTTAGCAGATCACTATGAGTGCTGCTGGATTATTGTCTTGGATTCTCTTTTCCCTCGCTCTTCAAAAACTGTTTGCCATGCAACCAAATATGTTCAACTATCTTGTAACTTGCCCTGCCATGTGGGGAGTGCCAAATTATCCATCCAACTTGCAACCTGTCGTGTCGAATTATTTTAATCTATGAAGTGGTTCTACATGACACACCATCTATCTTCAAACCGAACCTTTTGGGTTGTCGTTCGAAGAGACATGAATTCATACAGATCACGATCCATATTCGGCCTACTTTCTCAATGTTCTCTGCTGCCATGATCACCTGCTCTGAAGAGTGAAGCGCCTCCAATAAAAGGTTGTTATGCAACGAACTTTTATCAAAAGCTTGTGACTTGCTCTACCCTATGAGGGGCGCCAAATGCTCTATCCACCTTGCGAATGTTCCTCCATAAAACAACTGACTCGACACTGTTGATCTGAAAAATGTTATTTTCATGCTCGTGTGGAGGAAATTTATTTCCGTGGAACATATTGCAACCCATGTTCGGCCTACTAGCGCAGCGATCTCTGCTGCCAATCACCTGCTCTGACGGATGAATCAGCCTGATGCCTGATTTCCATGCGGTGCACCTAAAAGATACGAATGCCATGAACGAGCCAGGAGTGACAAGTAATAAGCCAATGGGCGAAATATCACACAAGCTCGAGGACAGGTAACAGTTACAAAGGGCGAGCTTACGTCGCAGAATCCCAGAAATACAAATCTTTGTAGCAATCAAGAAACTCAAGTGTTGGTGAAAGGCAGGCGACTATAGTCCTCCAGGGGGCATGTCAACCATCAATGTTGGTTCCATAACTCTACAGTGGGGGAGTGCATCGACGACTCCTCGTCAATGGTGTGAGATATTTCGATGACACGAGCAGTAGAAGAAGGGTAGACATTACGTGAGATGTACACACCGCACGCTCGAAGCTCGCCCAACTTATCTCGGATCCACGGCCCCGAGCAGCTCGCGAGCCGCATCCGACGGCCATGGCTGCTCTCCTCTCATGCACTGCCTGTAAAAAAAACTATAACTCAGAGTGAAGATATGGCCGTCGTCGTCGTCGTCGTTGTCGTCGGGTGACGAGTCCAAGCGCTTCCCTACATTCAATGGCGTCCCATGATTCCTCTGATTTCGTCCACTGTAGACTCGAGCCCTTTCGCCTCAGAGCTTGGCATACATTGAAAGGTGTGTCGTTGCTTTCATCTTTTGCGATGGGATATTTTTCCTCGCTCCCTTATATTAGACTATAATATCTAATTTCTCGCCTGGCTTCGAAGAAAACCAATGGCTGCAAAGCGGATGTGGTCTCGTCGGCAATTGTATCTGCTCAGGTCACAGATACTCTGAGATTCTACCTGGGAGCGAAGCCAATGATTTTCAAATATTTATCCAGAACTACAGGGTGTATCCCCTTTTTGTTCGCACTGTGGTTGAGAGCAAGACAGCATATTGGAACTAAACTACTCGGGCAATATTATCATATTGCTGTATTTTACTCGCCTATGCTCGCCTACTCTATCGTTCTCCACCATCTGGGTAACAGAAACGACCTTCGTGGTGATATTTTATAAAGTAGGAAGGTGGATCGCATTCAGAAGTCAGAACACTCTTGGGTACACATGTGCTGTAGGAACCGACTAGTTTCCATCTGCAATTTTTCCTGTATATTTTTTTGGCCGGCATGAGCTGAGCTGATGTTCGCATCGCAAGTGAGGACGGGTATAAAAATAGACCCCGAACATTAAAATTGCGTTGAGATGCAGCCCCCCTCCTTTAGACTGGAGCGGTCTCTTTGTATTATTGGCAGATGTCAGAGGGGAACAGAGTCGAAAGCATGCGCCAAACTTGAAAGATCGCCGGGACTGAGGTTGGAGATCTGATTCGGTGCGAATCATGTAAATGCATGTGACGAGATGATTAAAGCATAGATATTGATCAGCTAATGCAATTCTCAGAGCTCGAGACTACATTTCTGAGGAGTACAGTACATGTCTTGGAAAAGATGTAAGATATAAGTAGAGTTTGTCCCCTCCAAACGGTGGATGCTATGAATCTAATCTGGAAACTATTTGATCTATTAATCTAGCTCCTATTACCCCATGGTGTAATAGGATCTGGCCTATTTCCCATCGACATTCATTGTCCAAGATGTGAAATGCTGTCAGTCGACGAGACATTTCACTTGTACCCTTCTGTTTTTAGACAGACAAGAAAGTTCATATTTATTATGAGTATTTTTGCATTTCTTCCTCGCGACACCCTCCAATATGTTTTAAAAAATTAGGTGTGCTAGTATTTTTATAATAAAGAACTTTACTAGATTGCAAAATTTCAAACTGGCGTTTGCGATTACTTTCGTTGAAGGTAGATCTGTTTTTCTATATTTCAAGCAGGATTACAATAACAGGATTGCATATCTATGAGTTAGAGCATATTCGCGTGCCTCATTAATTTATCTTAACGACCAAACTGACCCAAACTTGGGCGAAACCTTGGCCGATTGAGTGCTCGACATTATTTTTGGACTTCACAGAGGAAAGAAACACCTTCGGTCACAATCCTCGAGATATTTGTTCGATAGAAATGAAAACCACATGATGTATACAGTCGAAAGGCTCGAGATTTTCTTGGCTGTTTAAGTGCTCGACATTTATTTGTCTTCGAAAATTTGCAGAGGAAAGAAACGTCTTAGTCACAATCCTCAGGTTCCTCATTCAATTGGAATTAAAACCACGTGAAATATCCAAACAGAAGGCTCCAATTTTTTTCTTTATATTTACAGGTGTTACAGAATAAATTTACTACAATTATGGCATGAGGAGGGTACACTTTTCACGAACTACGCGCATCGTCGTACTAAAACTTTCATCGGTGTAGGAAGTTCCAAATCCAGGCAAATGCTTTGCTCGTGCGGACCGATCGATGAAGAAGCCACCCTGTTCTAATTTAGATCTGGGCTTCAGGGCTAGCCAAAGGACTGTGTCAGCTCCTTGCTCTGGAGTTCTCATGAACTTTCTTTGTCTGCAGAAAGCATCAAAAGTGAAGTCATATGAATACCCATTTCAGGAAGCAATCATCAACACTGAAACTGTTCCGGAAAGCATCAACCTAGAGAAGGATAAAGAGTTGGACTAAATGGTGGAATTTGGGGCATACATAAGTCAGTTGGATTTGTGGAGTCTTACTTTTCATATAGCTTGGGATTATTTCTTCTGACTGCTTCTGTCTCAACCCAGCCTGGGTGCATGCTGTAGAAGCCTATTCCTTGAGGCCCATATATCTTAGCCCAGTACTCAGTAATTGCAACCTGTACGTCATTGGACATGATTGATCTTGAGAACAGAAGCTTTAAGCAAGTGTGAACTGGACTAGGCATAAACTATCCTTCATAGAACTTCACAAAAAAGGCTACAAAACCAAACCTGCAAGCGTTTGTATTGTTGATAGTGTTCCATCGGATTGAACTTCCCTTCGTCATCGAACTGCATATTTTCAGAGAGGTAAGACAATGAAATTTTCCCTATCAAAGAATTGCAGGTTTTGCTTTCAAGTTTGTGGGAAGAGCTAATCAACAACTATATGGCTCTCTTACGGGTTTATTGAATTACGACACGCACCGTAATTAGTAGCCCGGTGCGAACATATGAACTCGACAATAGTAAGTTTACAAGATTAAACCGAACTTACAGGTCAGCACAACTTACATCAATACGGAATTAAGATTGGTAGATCAACGATCGACTTGATTCTAAGTAAGAAACAATTTAACAAGAATCCGGCAGTAGCCAACCTGAAGACTCATTGAGAGTGAAGACAAGTACATTCTTGAAGAAGAGACAGAAATGACACGACAGTCAGGTGCAGCTTTCTTTAGAGCCGGCTGCAGAAGTTCTGTGATTCTGAACATACCCGCAACGTTCGTTGCGAAGTTCAGCTCCAGTCTGCGCCAATTTTGTAAACTTGGGAAGTTAATCTCCTTTAGTAGGGCTGTCAAATCACTAAACTGCCTCCAGGAACAAGATAAACGTACAATTGAAGCCTGAAGGGAAAGAAGTCAAGCTCTTCTCGTTGCTAAAAAGAAGAACACACCCGTCTTCAGACTCACGCCGAGTGAGTTCTAAGCCCCCTGCATTGTTTACCTGGATGAGTACATCAAGCCAGGACACCAAGCATACAAGCATATCGCTCTGTGAGTCTTCTCGTCCATTTCATCACATTGTTGATCGCATCATAATCTGAAGAGTCTTTTTGAAGTTACAGAAGTTTTAACTTTAATGAGTATAGTTTCGGAAGATAGATAACTAACTCAGAGACGTAGGATAGACTGACTAAAATGTTGATGTCCTAGGGAGACAAGGCAGTCATCCCACTTGCCAATATTCTCAGACTAGCATATAACGAACCGAAGCTCCACAAGTTTGACCGAGCAGAGCTGTCAGACCATAATATGGACCTTGCAGTCACCATCTTCCACACATTTTTATGAAGTAAACCTCGAAACAGTCTTGTTTGTTTTTATAGCAAACATCCAGACTTACCAAGACATGCAAAGGTTGATTCGTGTCATTGAAGCGTGATGTCAAAGTCTGGATTTGCTGAAGCGATGATATGTCACATACCTGTGGAAGAAGTCACGTTATTAGAAACATCAAGCAAGAAGGGACTCGAGTGTCTTGCATAGCCAATAGGGCTTACTTTACTTGTGACAACAATGGCATTTCATAGAGGGCTCGGCCAAACTTCAACAATGGAAGGCATGCAATACCTCAAGGAAAACCCTCTTATTATCCGTTTCTGATCTTATCTTCGATACAGCTATTTCTCCTCTCTCCTTGTTTCGACAGACCATATACACCTTCGCACCTCTGTCACATCACGTTCTTTCTCGTATAAGCCAAATGGAATATTGTTGCCGAAATTTATGTGAGCAATGAGGTGAAGATACAAAATTCAGGCGTTAGAGTTTATCTGCTCACTTCACCTCATTGAATGTTGAATCCTTAATGCATCATGTATTCAACAATGCAAAAATACATTTATCAATAACCGAGAGCTAAAGCACTTCTTTCGGTTTGTATTAACAGATGGTATCGTTTTCCACACACAAATGCAGCAGCCATCAGACTTCCAAGACAACAGGAAGATCTTTACCTGGAGGCAAAAGCTTGGGCTATTGCGTAGCCGATGCCCTGATTGGCACCAGTGACCATGCAAACTTTGCCAGTCATGTTCACATCCGTGTCTTCTTTTCGGAATGTTTTTGCTTTTCTCCTGTAGCAGTTCAACATCAATGAATTGGTGAGCTCCGATTCCACACATTACATAAAAGCGTCTATTACATCCTCTGCGGGCAAATTTTTTTTGACGAAGATAGATCACAGAGGTACATCCGGGACAGCAATTGCAAGAGGATAGGAAAGTGTAACAGGACTACAGATACGACGAGGACATCCTCATGTTTGAAATTGACAAGTATGAGAGGCGAAGAGGTGAACGGCTTTACAAGAATCCTTGACGAGTACTGCACCAATACTTGCAGTAGTGCTCGTACACATGTTCAATGTACACTGAACATCCACAACAACAGACGAAATTCAAAACATACATCTTTCTTCGGTTGAACAATTGCTTCTTACTAATGCCTTCTCACGTCACTAACCTGATCAGCCCCAAAGCAGGATCCACACGGATCGCACAAAATACATCATCCAGGCTTTAGCTTCAGCAACAGGAAAACCTTGAGTTCCAAATAGGACGATTCGAAATTCCGGAAGTGAGTGATTGTTGACTTACAAGATCGAGCTTTCTCAGGGTGAATGAAATTCAAAGGACTCCAAATCTGACAACCAGTCTGATCTGCAAATCCCATGTTTCCCTGGCGCTCGATCTAGCTCGAGAAATTGACCCCGAAAGCAGTTCAGGCAGTCTCGAAGATCGAACCACCTTTCCATATTTGTGGTCTTGATGAATGGTCTCGGTTTGAATGAATCGCGGATTCTTCGTCCCGTGTCCCAGAGCAATGTTTCCCGCCTGAATCCATGTGCCTAAGTGCTGCAGCCCCGCCCTCTCTGCACCATGTCCATTGTGCGTGCAAGGCCCCGCAGCGGACAAGACAGCGCGCAGTTACTGCCGATCTTGTATACGTCAGACCAATCACTCGACACTCGATGCTCGATTTGAGCTCAACCCGGCGTGATTTCTGAATTCACCGTGCAAACGTGCGAACTCGTAGTGGTAATCCAGTGCATTTCCCCTCAGCGTTGCGGCGGAAATAGCCTGCAGCCATGTGTAACAAACACGTAGAGATCTACTGCTCCATGATCTCCTCCTCTTCTTCTCCAGAAGCACAAGACGAGGAGCAGGAGGTGGATCAAGGTCAAAGGAGGTAAAATCTCCTGAAAATTGACACAGTGGGAAAACAGACCATTTCTATTTTGTCTTCATGCTTCCCTCGAAGAATTCTTGCCGAGTCGTCCGATTTCCTCTTACGCACTCCAGTCAGCAATGATCACGAGACAGTGTTGCAGCGCCTGCTGCTGAGTGCGCACAGATGGAGTGAGGCACATAGCCAAGCTCCCATAAAGCGCCTGAATTTCTTTCTCAAATTTTCATGTGAGTAATTTCGCTTACTTTCATATCGATGGAGCTACATTTCCATGTCCCGAACGAGTGCCAACTCCAGCGATTTAGATATTTTCGAACAAAAAATGGCTTCTTGACCACGAGACTCTGCAGATTTGGCTCTGACTAGTGAGATCTCCTTGCCTTCAATTTAATATGGAATTTCAAGGGCCAGGACAGAATTCACGATATTAAAGAATCCAGACCTTTAGAAAACATTTTGTAGAACACGGATCCGAAGTCCTCGTCCTGTTTTCAATTATTGGATTGATTCCGGGAAATGTGCTTATGGAAGAAAGATCCCGTGGACTTTGGTCAAGGTCCTCTATTTATTAATCTATTGATCCACTTGGCCCTCCCTCCCTTGGGTCATCATCCATCTTATTGCATGTAACGCAAAGCAGAGTAAACATCTGATTATTTAGTTTGTAAGAAACAACTCTTTTTGTTCATGAGCTTGTCGAGTCCTTTAGAAAATCGTCTGGAAAGTCAATGTGGTCTCCCCTTGATTACTATTTGAGAATTATATTCATACCATCTAAATCAGTATCTTGGAATTGATGTAGCTTGACTTAACATTGAGCCTGTAATGCTGTAACCCCCTTCATCTAGATTAACGTGAAATATATACTAGTCCAACTTCACAAATATATTCCCTCCCGACATTTTGTGGCACCCGTCGCATGTTTTGGAATTTTTCAAACAGTTTAGAGATTTGGGACTTCGAGCTGTCACCTTTCACACCTTGGTTTGGTCCATGAATATGCAATTTCATTAATCATAGAATTAAGTGAGTCTTCGATTCCATATTCACCAGGATATAAATGACTTGTTCCATAATAGGAATGCAGAGGATAGTTAAGCACCTTGCAAGAAGGGATGAAGATATCCTGTTGTTGTATGTTACAGTCCATGTCGGTCAAGGTGATCTTCCATGATCACTTTATATTTGGTTTGGGAAGATTTCCTTGTACTAATTTGAACTTCACCATAAAATATTTGGGCATATGGAGATTGCATTTTTTTGTCCCCTCTAGAGTTAGATTATTTAAGTATGTCGAGTTATGGACATATTCTGAGATATGCTAGTGAGGTGGTGACAAACTATCACGGTCATTTTCATATTCTGTAATTGATGTAAAACAATCTGTATCGATTTCTGTCAAGACATCAATGGCGGATGGATTTATATGAGAATACAGTAATCCACTGACCTGATGCTTCTCGGTATGCTCCATAAGTGTGCAGACAACTTGATTTAGAAATCAATGGGACACAGTTTTGAGTGATATGCAAGTGGGGACTAGCCCTCTCGTAGACCTTTGTTTCTCCCCACGGAGACTTGATGTGTGCTCCCCTTCGCTTTGGCATTTTCTCGAGGTAAGTTGTCGAATAGATTCTCTCGTAGATGATCTACCGCCTCAATTGGTCAATTGGCCAATTGCAACATGTTCCATGTCCATCCACCGTGCAGTAAAAATCAATACCTCCTTGACTCGACCCGGATTGGCCTGGTCATCATCGAAAACTGCTCGATGGATTCATTTCAACCCTAGTCTAGCAGCTCTTCATTACATTCTGTTTGGCTGGCCGTTAGTACAGCCCTCCCCCTGAGTCGATCATGAAACTCGAACAATTTCATCGGCTCCAATTAGAACTGAGACATGGAGACTGTGTGAGGAGGAGGGCCCCCAAGCAGACCACACACACTGATTGATTTGACCAACATCTCCCTCTCTCCCCCCCCCTCTCTCTCTCTCTCTCCTCGATTCTTATTCCACTGATTTTCTATCTGCTCGAATCTCAGCTGGGAATTTCCTGCATGCGTCTTTTGATGAGGTCTGGCATGAGGATTCCATTCCGATCCACGAGTCTCACTCACTCAATCACTCACTCTTGCAAGAAACCTCGATTGGATTACAATAAACCAAATGCGAACATTATCTCTCGACACGTCTAGAGAGCTTGGGGTTACTTGATGATGATGACGATGATGATGTGGATTGCGGATTGACTTGACCCAGAAGAGATCAAGCATCGAGGATTACATGGGCATATATCTTCATTCTACCACCATCATTGGAGATACATTGGAATGTCCGGACGGCACATGAATCATTTGTCTCAGATTTCCATGTCAGTCAGGCACCCAGGCAGGCAGGCCTCCGGGTGCACGTTGCGCCATCGTCACATCGCGACCGGTCATTGAGACAAAGAGGCTCGCCTTGCACCAATGGCATGTCGCCCGCATTTGAGGCGACGGTGGATAAGGAAAGTTCCATCTCTCCCTCGATGGATTTGTACTCGGATTTCCCCCAAATTACGATGTAGATTTACTCTCGTAAACCGTAAATTTATTCGAGTAAATTTATTTGGGGCTTTAGACTTGCGGGGGGCGTGAGCAAGAGTGGGACTCAAGAAAGGACTCAAGACGGCGTGTGACAGTACAGTAACGGTACAGTACAAGGCCCACGGTGCAAGAACAAGAAGTAACGGTGCATGGTTCACGGCCTCGGCTCCTTCGATCAACGGATAAAACAGAAAAGGAACGCACAAGGAGGCCATCGGGAAAGTTCAGAGGCCGTAAAAGGTACGGCGCGGCGCGGGCGGATGTCATTCGAAGCGTAGCGTGCAGGGAGGGAGGGAGGGAGGGAGTCCACGTCGGGGAGTCGCGGTTGGAGAACCGACTGCGGTCACCAGGTAGATAGAGGCGTGGCAGCGCGGAGGTGGACTAGATTTGCTGCATACGTGTCGTCGTCGTCAGTCGGTCAGTCGGGCAGGCCTCGAACCGGTCCACAGGGTCATCAGCAGTGCTGCTCAGTGCAGTCAGGGCAGGCCCAAGATCCAAAACTGTACTTTCCCTCATCTTGAACCGGGTCTCGCCTCCGTATCCTGCCTCCGTCCGCGGGAAGGGATCCCCGCGCCACCAGATTCCGTCCTTCGTCCCGTCCCGTCCCGTCCCGCGCCGTTGTTGGGAGACTCGGGGCGCCGGATGTCTCGCTCCGTCTGCGGGGCGACGGCCAACGCCACCGGACCGGAGGGGCGATGGCGTCATATCCTTATCTATCCGCAGACAGGGGCGCAGGGTGAGGTCATGGGAGCATCGGTCGCAGGTCGCATGTCGCACCCACCAGCCGGGGGAAAAGAAACACCCCCCCTCCCCGCACGTGATGTCTTTACCGCTCGGGCCAGTCTTCGTCCGTCCCATGGTTCCGGTGGCCCCGGCCGCTGACGCTGTCAAGGCAGGCCGCGAGCGGACTCAGCGGAGGAGCGCGCTCCCTGAAAAGACCGGTGCACGGAAAGGGAGGCCATAGGGCAGCGCCAGAGGTGCCAGTCGCTGGGACCCTCCCTCCGTCCCTCCGTCCCTCTGCCTCGAAACAACGTCTCCGAAACGTGCGATTTCGAGGCGACCTTTTCCGAGTTTGGATTACGAGATCTTCTCATCTCCTCTCCTCTCCTCTCCGAGGTCCGGGCCAGGCTCGAGGTCCGGGCTCGAGGCTCGGGCCTTACTGTTCTCAGGCTCGGGAGGCTTGTCCTTCTCGAGGTCCGTTTTGGAAGATTATCGGTTGCGGTGTGCGGACAGCCTTCTTTTGCAGCAGATTGGATATAGCGATGGTGGAGGGGTAAGATGTACCCGTACCGGATTATGTCCGGGTGGAGTGAGTGAGTAGCAATCGGGGAAGATTCGCGTTTTTCGAGGGTTTTCTCCCACAAGATGACGGATCTATCTGAAGGTGGTGGACTGTGGACGGTCGATCTGCTTCGTGCTCGTCGTAGACTCAATTTCACTCACTCACTCACTCACTACTGACCCCCGGGAGAAATGACTCTCCTTCATTCTCGTGCCCATCGAGGAAATGGGATGAGGTAGATTAGATTAGCGATTCGAACGGGTGAGAAGGGGAGGGTTGAGTTTCCTCAGCTTCCGATGTTTGACCGAGGGCGATGCTAGAGCCGCCCTCGGATGATCACCGATGTCCATGCACGAGGAACAACACAGACCGGGGAGGGAGGGGAGGGGAGGGGAGGGGACGGTAGGCCGCCACCACCAGTAGGACCACGCCAAGGCCAACGTGGGGGGGTGGTGGCATCTGCGCAGAGTCAGTCAGGCAGGCAGTGATCAGTCAGTCAGTCAGTCCGGGAGGTGGTGGTGGTGGAGGAGTAAATGCGGCACTTTGACCAAATGCAGAGCACCTCAGCTTTTGAAGTTTCCAATTCGAGCCTGCGCTGCGGACTTGGGGCCCGGCCGGACGTTGTTCTGTTCAGTCTACTTTCTCGCCATCCCAGACCTGCTACGCTACAGGCAAGAGAGAGATTGAGATTGAGAAAGAGAGAGAAAGACGAGAGGTGCCAGACTCGACCCGAGTCCAAACGACCGAGTAGAAATTCCCGTAGTAGGAGGAAGAGGAGGAGGAGGAGGAGGAGAAGTTATTACCAATTAATTGCAGGGAGCGAGCGAGTGAAAGCTATTACAGGCGACCGCTGCTGCGTCCCGTGGTTCTGCTTTCCTTCTAACCGACGTCTTGTTCCCTCTCGTCTCGTCTCGGGCAGCAGAGCAGAGCAGCTCTGGCACGGGGGCATTTGCTTTTTTGTCTGAGAGCGACGTTGTGTCTGGCTCAGTTCCTGGCTAATCACACGATTCCATTCCACTGTTAAAGCTGCAAATCACTCGAACCCTGTGCTAAGCCCAGAGCTTCAGCTGCACGAATCGAGCTGTCTGCAAAGTGGACGGGTGATGGAGCTTCCCGCCTGGAATGGCCAGACCTACCGTGTGTCACTTCTCACCAACCACTGTTTGGTGTTTCCTCGAAGCTCGGACGGATGGTACTCCTCGTCTCGGGACGAGCTCCGGGGACGGGAGAATAGAGGAGAATAGAGGAGAGGAGGTAAAGTTGAGCATGGAGAGTTGACCAGCGACAGATGTTGTCACGCGGGGGATTTGAACTGAAGCACATTCTTACAGCCAGTGGAGAGCCATGTGAGGTCATCTATTCTGTATTTTTTAAGCTGCACACTGTGGCGCTATCTGATCCGCTGCGGATTTGCTTTCGAGGTTTGGAGATCGAGTGCATGATCATGACACAGGATTCATGGAGAATTACTGCTCTTCTACGCCCATCAACAGCACTGCACAGTGAGGTGATGATGAACCACGATAGACTGCGGTTTCTTCCGGCCGCTTCTCCTCTCTGCTCTTCCCCTCTCTCCATTTGCCTGCCCTCGGCCTCTCTTTCTTTCTTTCTTGTTGTCACTCTAAATTAAGGAGCTACAGCCCAACAACGCTTGACTTGGGTGCAGGTGAACAGCAGCTCATGCGCCCACGCAGATCTACCAACTACAGTACAGTATTTCGGAATGAGACAAGCCTCTCCTGCGGATCGCGTGCCGGACAATTGTGGAGGTCTTCGAACGCAGGCATAAAAGCCGGATCAGACGGCCTTCGAACAGAACCTATTCCCGTCAATCACTGTCCCATGGCGAGGTAAAGTTCAATTCCGTTCTGTACTGTATTGTACTTCCATTTTGGCTATTTCCCAGAGCTGGCCTTCAAAAGAGCATCTTTCCCGTCCGGGTTGCTTCGCTTATACCTTCGAGCTCCCACATTCCAGGGGATTATGATTTTATTGACTAGGAACAAAAGTATAAGTCAGCCAATATTCCGGAACCAGCTGGAAGCTCTGCAAGGGCTGAAAAACCGCTCCCTCAGCAGCAACTGCGAATAATCTACTATTTCTTCCCGAATTCCCTCCCACATGATAGGAAGCACGTTTGTCCTTACAGCAGGACGGATTTCTACGGTACCCCGGTCCCTGCATGGCTAGAGTGCAGTTCTCAGATATAGACTTATCCTTTTATCTTTCTCGGGGCGCTTTTATTTATTCTTTTTCGGTTTTATCTCTCTCGGGCTGCTCTTATCTCTGTCCGGGTCAGATTGAACTCCCTACGAGTCAAGCACCTCAAGCCTCCTTCGTGCCTGATTGATTGATTGCAGGTGAGACGTTTTCCCTTCGGCTCGCCCACGTTTCCCCCTGTGGCTCGTCAAGTGGTCGTCCATGGCCGCTTCCCAGAATACGTACGGTATAGAAACATGCGTGACGTATGTACTGACAGAAGGTGCCATCAGACTGTAATTACTGCGTCGTACACGAGTCTTCGAGTGCCGGTCCAGGCCTGCCTTCGAGTTCGGTGGTGAGTAAATTTGGGTCGAGTTAATACTGCTGCGGCCCACCGCCCAGCAGCAGCAGCAGTCCCATGTAAGTCTTCCCGGCCATGACGATGTGTCACTCTCGCTTGTGAACGCGTATCGTCAGATTGGTCCTCCATGGTCACGTCATGAGAACTTGTACTTACCCAGAGTAACAACATATTCTCCAGAAGACTGGAAATGACATGCTCCCCAAATGGATAGACGCGTTCAGTCGGACCAACTTCGGTTCGTGTCTCTTCCTGTGCTTGGCAAAAGATCCTGTAGTATATCTGGCCTTACCGAGATGAACTCTCCTGGGAAATGTTGTCAGACACCGTTGCCACCTAGGATGTGCACTTTCCACCACTTGATCCATCATGCTCGAAACCATCGCTGTAGTTCATCTAAAAACGTGGACGATGAACGATCGATCGCCCGCATACTCGGATCTGAACTAGGTGCCAACAACTTTTTATGTTTAAAGCTCTCAGCTCCTTAAAGATACTCTCACGCGAAAGACGTTCAATCACTTGAAGAAGACCACTTTATACTGTTGCATATTCATGGAATCCAGTGGCTGTGGTGAAAGAAGGACGACTAGTCAGTCGGCTATTCGCTGCATCACAACAGAGCCCTGTTTTGTTGCGAACTTTCCTGAGATGTACCACCAGCCTGTCTGGCTGTATTCGCGATGTTCGAAGGAATTGCAGACGTGATCAGCCGACCGAGTTTGTCGATCTTCGCCATACACACCCCCTACCGTGACACACACTCTCTCTCTACTGTCAATGGCCACCAAGCATCGTCAATGTAGGTGAGGTCGGTGCCATGTGGTAACCAATGCCCCGCAAGGCTTGCCAATGACTGCAATTGTCAAACCCAGAGACTCACGCTCCGAGAGAGCGAGAGGATATTTATATTCCCGAATGCGACGCACAAGTGCAGCTCGTATGGACGATGGAAGGAATGAATGCCTTCCACTCGCAATCTGTGAAGTCATTCTTCATGGAATTGTAGACGTTGACTTTTTAGGAACACCTTTTCCCATTTTTTACGTTCGCTCGCCCATCACTATTTTAGCGATTTTCCACTTTCGATCCTGGCCTTATAGGATTCTGGCAAGATGCTCGGATGTAGAGTGGTCCGATTTCGATTCCGGTCTTCGTGGACGTCGAGTTCAGCTGCTTCAGCAATCTCCCAATTTACGGAGGCCGAGGGCAACAATCATCTGCCATGACCCTCGATACAGTTGTTCTAAGCTGCCATCATACGCTGGAGTACTGATGAGAGTTCACCAGGTTGTCAATCCGAAAAGACTGAATGATGTTCGGTGTTGATGTTTCGAGGCTTCTGCTTCAGAGGAATGATAGGATATACCTCTCTCTAGACTGACATTGATAAAGGAGCCTACAAGACCAACACTGGCAGAAGACACCAGTAAGGAATGAGATAAGTCATGTCCGTACAGACCAGCAAATATCTTCCGAGGAAGGGGATCTGCAGTTTACCTCAATTGAACACGACTGAACGCCTGCAGTTGCTTTGAGCTATTATTTGTTCCCTGCTAATGAAGAATGGGCGATGTCACCACCTTTTCTTTTGCTCTCGATTTAAAAGAAAATTGGTTGTTAGACCCCACTTCCATCCGTCTGTCCTCCCGGTGGGCCATTCCTTACGTACGTCCCTCACAGCTCGTACCGACGAGCAGGATCAGGAAGTTATGAAATTTGAGAGGCACGTGAGAAAGTGCATTGGCCTCACGTACAGTGTCCTGTTACGTAATCCTAACAAGGCCCCATCAACCTCGGCGCTGTCTGTCTACAGTTTCCTGTTCCACAAATCTCGCGAAATCTGATTCATATCCTTAAATCTGATTTGGAGACAAATATGATCTGTTTATTGTACTGGTCTGCAGTACACCATCAGTACTCCAGCCCGTTAGCAATATGGGATGCTTTAAAAATTGTTTCTTTTTGGTTTCTGGAAGTCAGATCGTAGAGCTCAAGCAGCTCAACTTCTACTCCAGCATAGATTCATCTCCGTCTGGATGGACGGTGACACCATTGTCACAGGTATGGGTCGAAAGTGTAAGAGAAGCAGAAGACTTTTCTTTTCTTCTTGATGATTAGAAGGAATAAGACCCAAAGCAGTTGTTTAAGCTAGCGTCAGTGCAGAGTCGATCGGAACCTAAGGTTGTAACGCAACCTGATAAAAAGGAGAGGTGTACGTACCCATTAATAGTAGGATAGTAGAGAAAAAGCAGGTATGATATGGCTGCTATTAATCTGAAACCCTGAAGCTCTTGATGGATGATGATTGATAACTCGAGATACATGTCAGATCGAAGCAGTTTCCCCATGCCATGCAATGCGATTGTTTCTGCCAAAGTGCAGATGAAACTAGTTTTTTATAAGACAAAAGGCGGAGATCCTTGCCACGAGATACGTACCACAATGAACAGAAAAATAAGCATGGGCATATCATACGTTGTACTCATCTGGATCTGGACGACAACTTAAGAGTCTGAATATTAGTTTCCCTGCCTTACAGACACTGTAGTCGACAACCCCTGAACCTATCACACTTTCGAACTCAATGATCCGGTCGTTCACGCATTGAGACATGTGAAGTTTCATCTGGCCTCGTAGGATGGCTTGTTATTGCTGTGCATGCTCAGCAACTTTGGCCTCCAATCTACTCTTTCTAAGTTGCTCGTTGAATAGTGATTGGATCTTACTTCTTATTGCTGGTTGACATCCCTCGTGCTTCGTTGGGACACACTATCTACCCGAAATAAACTGCAGAATATCTTTAAAAGGATCGTGGACTGGAAGGAGGGGTATATTTAAAGGGTTGGCCAGGTCCTCTCATCCACCTGCGTCATGTAAGCAACTGTTGTGAGCAGAAGCCTGAATCAACTGTTAAAATGCATATGATATATTAGAAGGAGTAGCTGCTATTCTTTCGTAATCCATCATGAGCAAGCGATCTGGCCTTCACGTATATCCTATCTTGACTATGAATCTTATTCCACCGAGCGCAAAGCGCTGCATTTCTCGAAAGGACCACATGGCAAAAAAAGGAGAATCTCCCTGAAAACCCTGTGCAATCTTTTCAACTACGAAAAGTAGTGTGCGTTTATTACTGATGGACCAACAATGTGCAGCATAGCACAGGTACAGCAAAATATATCATACTACAGTCCAGGAGCTTTGGGTTCCGAGTCGAGACCTGCTTCAGAGCCACGATGTTCTCTTAATAGTGAGAAGCCTCTCCAGTCTCCTACGGCCTGCCTGCATGCCTGCTCTCCCAGAACCCAAAAGTGCTCGTCATTGGAAACTTGGATATACCAGAAAGAGATTGATTGTAACTGTCTTCATCAAGCGGTGCCAGTGACCACATACCCCGATAGATTAGTGTGCACTTAAAGTTGCGCAGTGAAGAACCTGAGTCCGTGCAGGAAAAGTTGGGACTGCTCCTTGCCTTGTCATCCACGACGAGACCATCTAATCATGAAAGTCGGGACTCGGGATGTGTTTAAATTGTTCTTTGACTGCCGAGCTGTTCTACAGTAAGAGCACTGAGGAGGATATACAACAACCCACTGACTTCTTTCCCAAGAAACATTCTCAAACATCAGATCTTATTCGGATCCTACTTCTTTTGATTGTGACTTCAACACCCTGTTGTACCTATTCCCTTATCTCAATTCCTGTTGGCCTACTCCTTTAAGTGCTTCATTTTCTGTAGAAGATTAATTAGGCTCATTAGATTCCAGTTTGATCTTGAACATGTTTCATGGGACCGATGTCAAACTGCACGCATCAGACATGGTTCGGTTCGCCGCAAACAACGTCAGAAAAGAAGGGCTTTTTATGCTGAGGAAGTGAGCAGTTGATTCTGAGTAAGAATAAAGACGGAACAGCAAGGTTCAATTTATGAAGCATCTTCTGACTCCAGGACTTCTCGCAGAAGATTCTGTCAAGCATGTTATCATCTCAGAGAATTAGCTCAAAAGCGAGTTCCTTTCGCTGTCATGATGTGCGGGCTTTCATTTATCACCGTCGAAGGAAGGGGCAATTTATATGCTCTTATTGAAGTTCATGCTATATGGAATACATGGTGCCTAGACTTGCTGCTGTTATCTCGGTTTCTGGCTGTCTCATGAGATCAGATGATAGATCTCCTCACAAGAATGGTCATGTGGTCCGATATCAACCATCTGATCAGTACGTCACATATACTCAGATCTTTATTAGGTGTAACCCGTGAAACAACTATCTAAACTTTGGCCGAAAAATAAGTAGATGCATGAACTTGAGACAAATGCAACCTTGCAGAAAATTTCAACGTCAACAATTATATTATTGATGTCAACAGATGACAACAATCATGCCCGAAGGACCATATGATGATGGTGTTCTGTACATTTGACTCTTAAGTAACTTGCCAACCAACTGTCATTTCTAGACTCAACTACCTTTCTGGAATTGGAAGTATCATCCATGAAGTTCTCTATATATGAAAGAACAGGAAACTGCTATGGAACCAATACAAAATTACTATTTAATACTAAATGAAGTCTGAGTAAAATGGAAGAGTCGGTATCAAATCATCAAATAATGCCATTCCCATACGGATACCTTCATTTCGTGAAGCGCAGGTGCTAGCTAGAGTTTGGAAGGAGTGTTTGTGAACTGTTTTAACTTCTGAAATCTGCTGTCGCTCAAGTACAGGAGCTCTTCTGGTCCTACACGTTACAGTTGAATCCAACCCGGTACTCAGACCTGCATATGGCACTTATGTCCGACACACTTGCTCTGAAGTAGTATTTGGTACGTTTCTCCTGGCCATGTTGGATTCAAATCACACACGAATGAGTGACAGGAGGGAATGCCAGAGGGTTCGTCAATCTTGTTTAAGTTGTAGGGTGAGCGAGCTGGTGTTCTCCTGAACTCCACCAGATCGCTGGTTGTATCATGCCCTGTGCACATGATCTTACTGACAGGGGGGCCAAGTAAATAGCACTGGGATGAAAAGATCCTCTTTTCTGTTTACTTGGTGTTTCATCCTTGTGCGGGTTGATGGGAAGATCTAATCGAGCCGCACAGGGATGAACCAAACGGGTAAGCTGTTAGTGCATGTTACTAGTCACATCAAACGATCAACGGAGGTGACATTCTCAGACTACCATCTTCCTACAAATATTCTACAATCATAGTAACAACTTGATATCAACACTCGATGAAATCGCTAACCAAACACCGCTTTGATTATCACCTCTCCTTGCAGTGGTGTCATCCCATCATCTGTCTGCCTTTTGTTATAGTTGGTTTTTCTTTATACTTGAGTGTCGAAATCACAGTTTGGGTAAAATACATAAGTCAATCACCAATTCTGTGGCACCTAACTAGCTGCTTTCTCGAGAACTTGAAGCTGGTCCGCTGGAAGCTGGATTATTAACTTTACTTACCTGATTATATATGGCACTTAGACGGACAGATCATTCTATTCAGTTAGACGGACAGTCACAATACGTCATTACAACCAACGAAAATTCAGGCAGTCAACATTAGGAGTATACTATAGTTCAGATAACGCACCATCAGCATCGTGAAGTACAGGACTCAAATTGCTCCAACGTCAACTCTAATATTGATTTTTGAATCATACTTTCTCGCCCTTAATTTATTAGTGTATAAGTTACCTGTAATTACATTCATGTTCTAGCATTGAAATCCGATCGATTTTTCGACGTGTGCAAACCTTTATGTGTAAATACAGTTCGCATACACAATGTTGCTTCTAGCGGCGAGAGCTAGAAGTCATTCATTACATAAATGACACCTAATATTTCAACACCTGCTCACATTTCGACAACACGTTTGCTTCACATGTTTTAAACGTGTCACGGCTGGTAAATGTCAATCATATCTAAATATGTCTGCTACTATGTTTCTGTGAAACCTACAATGAGGAACAATTCGTACCTTCCTATCTCAACTCCTTTCCGGAGTTGAACTTTGGTCGTGCACTAGAAGCACTTAACTCTTAGAGCATAGAACTAACGAGTTCAAGCTCCGTAGTTTTAGAGTCTTTAGTCTTGAACGAGTCTTAAAGCAAATAAGAGTTGAAGCATTTTGATTCTGTCGCTTTAGGCGCAAGCGGTCACGAAAACTAAAGCTGTTCTCCACACTTGAACCATGATATGAGGGCAACCATTCAGAGTTTTTGCATGCCTCCTTTATCAGGGACAATCTGGTATCCATCAAGAAAGATAATAAAAGTAGGGTGCTTATAATATTACAGGTGAGTCATAGCTTGTGCCAGAGCAGACAATGTGTCCTACATTTTTCTCAGAGCTGACTATTCTAAAAGCCATCCCAATCCATCTCCAACGTCATCGGGCGGATTTCCCCAAGAAAAGGTGAAAACTTAGAATCCGACCTATTGTATGGAAGTTGGAAGTCCCAGGCTGAAACCTCTATCGGCTGTACATCTTCCAACTGGTTGACGTTCATTGCAAGCAGCTTATCTCCTTCGACCTTGGCCAAGATCTCAAATGGCCACCTCTGTACTTTCGGCTTCGTTATCCACTCGGGCCACCGAGTCTCATAATCCTCCACGGTCTCGTTATTCAGCTGCATCTCCAACTCAAATGGAAGTTTGACAAAACTGGCCACCGTTGCCTTGGCCTTTAAGAGATTGATCGAACCCCGTTGATGCGCTTTACGACCCAGGACGGCTAGTAATGCCTTTTCTAGGCCCAACAAGTTGGGATTCGATCCATTGAGTGAGGCCAGGGGCCACAACCAGGGCACAGTAAGGCTCAGAGGTTGATCCTGTACGAGCGCCAAATGCTGCTGCTCAGGTTTGTCCTTACGAGACACTAACTCCACAGAACCTGGAGCAAGCTTCTTCACCTTCAAGCCAGCTGCTTTATTCGAATCAGACTCTTCTGAAGCAGCAACCAAGGATGTTGGCCCAACTATCCGAAGAGACAGCAGAGGTTTCTCTTCAGATTGTGAAGCTTGACGAAGGCGTGCCGCAAGATGGAGCAACTTCGAGGCTACACTACCTCCGAAGCCAGAACCCGTCTGAAGCAAAGGCAAAGGCAGCTGCAATGGATGTGATAAGCTGACCTCGCGAGCTCCTTCTACTGTGACAAATGCCCCATCAGCAACCAGCACCCTCCGAACCATACCTGCATCTACTTCATGCTGTTCCAGGCAACCACAACCAAAGTTCCAATGTTTGTAAGCACAGATCTTGGTAATCGTGCCAGGTTTGGTCATTTGTAACTCTGAAGCAGCTACAAACGAGACCAGCTGTGATGCTGGCTAATTTGATCAATGACCCTCACGTTCGTAAAGAGGAATAAACAGTCAACAGAAACTGACAGAAGAAATCTTTGCTGTCCTCCAACAAACTAAAAGCAGTTTCTGGTAAGTTTGCTGATGCGAAATTACCAGAAACTTCGTTAATATGTTGAACTTACATAGCAAATCAAACACAGCAATAATACTTACCGGCATAGCCAAGCGTAGATCTTTCGCATCTGAAATCCACAAGTCTACAGGGCCGGCCAGCTGAAAAGGTTTCATGACCGCTGGCATAAATTCAGGATTCCAAACATCAACTGGGTTACCACCCTTATCCTTGTCATAACTGGCCATGACCTCTTCAAGAAAACGCCATGCTGTTATTTCTTCTCTCACCATGAAAGGGAGTACTGAATCTCCCACTTGTATATCAAATTCATATAGAACCGTTTCACCTAGCTTCGCATCCTTCATGTTTACGGATGAAATCTTTATGGCTTCCTTTTTTAAACCCGACTGCTTCACAACTGCTTCTGCTGCCTCCTGTACTCCACCAATTTCACCAGACACATTTAGATGAAATCTTAATTTTAAAGGTAAGTGTAAGCAGATGTAGAATCAACACATAATTCAAAACATGTGAAACTGCGACAAGCAGCAGCTTCTACTAAGCCTCATCAACACTTACTGAAACCTGCATGTGTCTATCTCCGGGAATATATTTGACTCAGTGGAGTGGACAACTCACTGAAGACCAGACCTTCAGGGGGCTGCAAATAATCACTTTCAGAACTAACTTGACCTAGATTCTTCTTCACCATTTTGTAAAAGTGCTTAACATAGACACAGTGGCTAGGAATTTGATATCGAACAAACACTGGCACTTCCATTTACGTGAAACTATGGCATTGAGACAGTTTGTAGCTGAATTGCAGTGACACGCTGAATCTGTTGGGTGATGCGGATGAAGATGTCCTAACTGTCTAAGTTATTTAGAAATTTGCTGCTAATGGGAATGGTACGGCGACTAATACCAATTGTTGCAAGTCAATTGACCCTTTTGCTTGAGTTGGTTCCTACCCTAATAAACTTGTAAAGGCTGTTCCTATAGTTTAAAAATTAAAAGAAGATACATTCTTATAAAGTTTCGCCAAAGAGGGCGTTGAACCCGTCAAATAATTTAGTGGAAAATTACAAAGTGCAAGTTTTCTGAAACATACAATCAGCGTACTATTTTCAGAAAAGAAAGCAAGACCAAGCTGACCCAATGGCCGTAGACGGACATAGCTACACGGCAAAAAAAATGCATATTCAAGTAATGAGAGATTTTTGGAATTTCATGTTTAAGGATTTGCAAGGCAAGTCGAATAAGGTAGGCCGAAAAAGGTATAAATCAGGCAGCAAAACCTACTAAAAAAACGAGGCTACATACTAAGAAGTATTGTAAACTTACACTATCAAAGACAAGGAAAAACCAAGAACAAAATTTGAATTTTAATGCGAAATTTAACCACATGTATCTGTACTTTAATAAAACACTGGTAAAATGTACATATACAAAAAAATCACTCAATCGCGTCCAGAAAGATGTATAATGAGTCAGTTGCCTTAGATCTAACAAGCGTCTAAATTTAGCAAGAAGTCAAGTAACAAGTAACTGGAAAAAAAAATAATAATGTCTACGGACTTAGTAGACTTAGTCAAACCCCGACACAACCACATTACCAAGAACGTATAGACAAGGACAATGTGCATGCGTAGTAGTAAGCAAGCCAATCTTGTGATACTCCGCACCATAACATCACAATTAAGCAGTTGTCAGTTACTCTAAAAGGGAAGCATATAACATGCATGGAAGAAAGGTTTAGTCCCGATCGCATTCAAAGATAACTTCTATCGCGGGTAAAATGCATTGAGGCAGACGCACCAAGTACTAATCGGTGAGTTGTTACGCATACGACGATCGGCATCTGTTCACATGTTTGAACAATGATCTCATGTTCTTTGGATAAAGTGACTCTACAATGTTGATTAATTGTCACAAGCTTATAAAGAGGAGACCAGCCACCATCGGATTCCTAATGATTGATTTGAGAGAATATCTTTGTACAATCCGTCAGTGTTAGTTTAGTGTCTGAGGTTGTGTATTACATAAAGAAGGTCAAAGATGCAACAACGTAAACTTTTTACATCATGTTCTTTGGCCTTCTGATAGACAGAGTAACTTACAAAAAACAACGTCAAACTGCTAACGGGATAGACGACCTACAGATGATAATACCTCTGGAACTACATGTACTAGCTTGTTGCAAGTACAACTTACAAAGATAGCTAACCTCTGACAAAATTTACAATTTGCAGTGATAAATTGAATACACACAAAAAAGAAGTGCAGTGGTTCAAGACTTTCAAAATTCTTCAGCGTTAAAGCAAGAACGATGTAGCTTTTCTAGTGTTCGTACATACCTCTTTTCTATAGGTAGAGAAGACAATTTTCGATCTCTAGTGAAGATAAAATCCAAAGTTTGAAGGACATACTGTTTGTATATTCAGGTATCTTGGTACGAGTCAGCAAATTAGAGTCATTTGAAGTAAATATGCGAACTCAAAATAGACGAAGTCTGCTTGCATTATATTGTTGTGAAGTTGGCACGGTTAGCTAACGACAGCCCAAACCCACGTATGTGCTGGCTTGTCATAGGATCTTCACGATTTGATAGGCCCCAGATTCTGCCCTTTAAATGCTCATACAAGTCTGCCTAATTCGACTCATTGCTTGACTAGTCTTCCTAGTCAAGCAATGATTCAAATTGCAGCTAGACTTCGTCTACCTGCAAATCAACACACATATTCTGTGCGCTGATTGCAATGACGACCAGACAAAGAGGCAAATGAATGAAAAAAGGGTCCATCATATCTTCACCATCTTCATAGCTAAAGTCCAGTTCGGTGTTTTCTCGTATAATTGTCCAGCCTTCTAAATATATCTATAGCAAAACGGTCTTCAGAAGACTCATAGGAAAATAGGATGAAGAAATTGACATTACTCTGTTTAAGGATTGAAAAAAGTCAACTCAAATTCCAATTCTCAATCATAGTTTTTTATTCAAATATGTCCCTTAAGGTCAACCCTTGTGTTCCACACTAGAAAGGGTTTCTGTTAGTAAAAAAAGTCATTTTTTTGATAGAAACTGTAACAGCCACGATATACAGATGCCAACTACTCTTCACAAAGTCCCTGGTGAAGCATCGGCTTCTTGCTGAATAATTTCAAGATCAAAATTATTCTATACTTTTGCTAATTATGACAACTGAGTCAATAACAAGTTGTGTCCGTTTGAATTCAGAACAAAAGGGGCGTAGGATGCCATACGATTTGATTCATATAATTGATAGCCAATTCCAACTCCTTCCAGTTGCATTAGCATTGCCATCAGCCAAAGGAAGAAAGCAAAGAAGATAAACCGAATACGAACAGAGGAAGATCACTTACCGAAACAACTTTCGATGCATAAGCAGGAACGCCATCAACATCAAGGATAGACAAAGCTTGGCCGGTCAACACCAGAAGAAAAGAAGCCGCGACGAACAAAAGGCTTCTGCCCCCGCCTCTTCTGAAATCCACCATCATCTTTGAAAGCATGACTGCAACGAGCCCGAAAGAACAAAAACGAAGCCAAACACAGGGACCCACAGGAAAATTCGACCCAATTGAGCCTCACAGACAGCCCGAAGCCTGGCGAAGGACGAAAAAGAGCGACAGAACGAACAAACGAACAAATAATCGAAAGATCGATCGATCGATCAATCAATCAATCAATCGACGAACCCACCCGCCCACCGACCAACGGGCGATCGATCAATCGATGGAATGAACTCAAATGCGGACAAATTTGAACGGGACGAACGGTCGGAGCGCTAAGATGTGGAAATCGACTGGAGCGAGTGACTGAGTGACTGACAGACACCGGGACGGGACAGATCACAGATCACAGACACGAGGGGAGAAGGTACGGAGGCGAACGAAGAGAAGGGAGGAGGAGAGAGAGTGTGGAGAGCTTTGCAAATGGAAGGCACGGGGAATGAAGGCCTCGAGCTCGGCCTCTCTTGTATCTCGCCTTCCCTGCGCGCACGACCGACGGACGACCATGAGCAGGCAAGTCACGTTCTTATCGAGGCCGGCAGGCGAATCCGTCTGGTTTTTGTCCTCGTCTGCCTTTTCCATCGGACTTGAGACTTTTTCTTAGAAACAAAGTAAAGTTGAGGATTGCGAAGAAAGAGACCCCGAGCACTGACTAATAAAGTAGGAACACATATTTCTGAAGAAACCCCGTGAAGTGTGGTCTTCCATTTAATTTTAATTTGGGTGGAAAAATAATTCGACGATTTTTAAGGAAGGTAAGATATTTTCAGTGGACCTCGGCTTAAGTTCTCCACATTTAATCATTATCCTAGGCTTATATACACTTATGGCCTCGTAAAGGTCCTGAGTTGTTATGTAGGAAAAATCTACATTTGTGCCCAACGAGATATTAAAGTCTAGAGCTTCGCCCTTCTTACTTTAGCACGAAAGCTCGGGTTTCCAAGGGCTGGAAGCTGGGCTAGTTTATTTATGGGATTTCATACTTTAGGATTTTAGAATTTCATACTGACGTTCATACTTACGTTCATATTGATTTTGATTGTGACCGGTCACCCAGGTGCGCATATGAGGCCGGCGGAGTGACGGATATTTAACGCAGCGCTCCAGCGCAGAGCCATAGAAGCGCGTCCACGCAATACGCTTAGTACCCCAGCCCATACTGGAATTTGAAAATTACTCACATGACTATTTCACTATATGGGACGGAGTCGAATCAAGAAAATGATGCCAATAAGGTAATTAAGTAGTTGCAATATTACTGGATTATCAGATGTATTCCCCGAACTAACACACATGTAAACCATTCAAGAGAATTAAAGCGAATTAAGGTGGCCACTTATAAACTTGGATAAAGCGTAAAATCTACTATTTACAAAGACATTCCAGAATTTTGTGAGTAATTTTATCGATGTTGAGAGTTAGGAGACTCATTAATAGCTTCAAACTTGACCTCCATAGTAGAATGTTGAGAATTGTATTCGCATGGTGGGGAATCTCTTGGCATGAGCGACGAGTAGGCTTGTAAGTCGAAAAGGAGAAAATGATAAGTTACATGAATAGATAATTTTACCATAGACTTTTTTTTATATATTCGAAGTTAGAATACGAGTGGTATAATCCAATGCAAAATTTTTATCAAAAAATCCTTTATACCTCTACTCAATCTAGAGCATGTACTTTCACTTGACTTCACATTCTCTCAAATGAACTTACACTCAAGATTTTCGTGCCTTCCTCCGGATGTCGTCTCCGTTCCCACCATTCATCCTTCTCTACCGGATTGACCGCCTCAATGACCGGGGAATGAACCAGGACTTCTTACATTCGAGTTGGATCGTCTCGGTTATCGGCCGTTGGGACATATCGAGATCCGGTCGGCAGTTGAAGCTCTGAAAAGGTGGAAACGTGCCGCGACCTGATTGGCTGACTGGTATTGACTCGACTGCAAGAGACGACAAACGATTATCTGCGCCTGGGTTTCGTTGCTCCAGGCGTCCTGTACACGGTAATTGCAGGACTCTGATTATCTGCTTTAACTCAAGTACACGTCAGCCCTGCATTAGTCCACATTGGAAACATGTATTTCCTTGTCCGAATATTCAAACTTGAAGGCCCGTAGCAAACATCTGATTACCACAAATTTAATTCAGGAAAATATATAAGAATCATTTAGATTCTCTCTATGACCGTGAGCAGCTACATCTATGTTTGAACGGAATGTACAAAAAATTATATCGACACACTTTGCTTCCTAGAGACAAATGTAGAAAAGAGAATGTATTTCATTATGCTTTTTTTTAACCAAAATGAATTACCTCATTGACTGGTTCAATCCAATGACAACTTATTTTCCCTATGATTGCAATTCACAAGGAGTTCAATTCTTTTCGATGAAGAAAATGGAAAACCATTTCAAGTGGATTAAACGATGACCCTCAGTCCGGTGGCTCACCACGTTAAGAACACCGCAAATTAAGTGCAGAAGGTTCAGATCGGATGTTTTTAAACAAATTGCATGTGGGATATTGGTGCTTCAATTTCCAATTATATTTAAGGATCAAATGGATAATTCCGTTTGATTTGCTATCAAACACTAATTGACAACTTATAGCAAAATGATAAAATACCCAATCAAATAGGGAATAAACCAAAGTGGTAGCACGGGGCTACTTTCGATAGGATCACAATGACGTATACAGTATACGTCACAATCTCACTATGTCCACTCCATTCTGTATACAGTATACGATATACTGTATACAGAATGGAGTGGACATAGTGGAGAGTGACCCTTGACTAGATTAGTGACAGTCGATGCAGCAATGGAGAATCTTCCAAATTCTAACGTTCGTGAGAGCGCACAGTCCAATGAGAGGAGGTCAGGCACCCCATTCCTTCATCTGATTCGTTCTCGTTAAAAAGTATATTATATTCTGGCCTCTGATTCGAGCGATGACCCTTTATCTATGGAACAAGTACAAATATAAAAACATGAAACAAGTACAAAATAACCTGAATACATTTAACAATGAGAAAATTTTCTAGTGGGAATATTGTATATCATATACATGACTTATTTTTTTCTCTTGTAAGTTCAGGGTTCCCTGGCCAATTTTGTTTCGGTCCCAACCAATCGGAAGCACTTAGTGTGGTTTCTTTCCATTTACTTTATGCAAATTTGGCAACACCATTTCTTTGATCCTTACGCATAGGGCACCTTTTCTTCCCCATGTAATGATAATGCATTTTACGTCATATTACAAATTGCAAATAAACATTCTTGAACAAAAAATACATGCTGCTTTAAATAGACTTTACAATCATTTAAAGAAATTGATATCCTTATTAATACTACGTAAAATAATTCGTTAATGTAAACCAAATTAAAAGTAAGAATATACACTAATAAATTTATACAATTCTTAAAATATAAACATTTCTGAACGTTTCTATATATACTTTTATATCTAAAAATGTCCGTTTCCTTTTGTTATTCACCCATGAGCAGATATGATAATCATTTCTAAAGATTTAACATGTTTGAAATAAATTATTGTAATATATAATAAAATATTTTTTACTTCCAAACTAAGTATTTGTATGTTTTCACTTGGATCAACTTCAAACAACTGAATATTTACTCTAAGCGTGATAGCAAATATCATATCCGTATTAATATAACAAATACTTTTGGCGTTTGATTTTCAAAGAATGTGAAGACAAAGCCAAAACAACATCTCGTCATTGTAGATTAAGTATTGAATGTGAACCAAAAAGCCCCAATAGATGGAACTAGGATTCACCTTCTACATTTACCAGCAGCCTTTGAAGTCCTTGTTGATGAACAACCAGCATAGTGGCAAGCTACTCGTTGGACATTCATACTAGAGGAGTGTGACTTTTATGTGACTCGTAGCCATGGTATTACACATCTCTCATATCATGGTATTTGGCTGATATCATGTCAAAGTCAACTCTCATTATATTAGAGTATAGTTTAATAACCAATTATATTTTTTTCAAAAATTGCTTGCTGATTTACCTCATGCCTTTAGTTATCTCTCTCTGCTGCAATTTTCCATTTGAAAACAAAAATGATTTAATATTTTTTTTGAAAAAATAATTAATTGTATCGAATTTTTTTTAATTTATTTATTAACAAAAAGATTAAAAAATTTAATATCATATTGACAACATATGTACTTTAAAATTTATAAAAAATTTTGAGTTATTTATGAATTACTAATTTGGTCAATTATGAAAAAATTGATGATAAATGAATAAATTATATGAATTAATATTTATTTTAACATTGAAATTTTATATTTGCGTATTAAATTGAATATTTTGTACAATAAATTTTTTTAAATATAATTAAAAATAAAACTCAATTTTTAAAAATCTGATAAGATATAAATTTTTTAAATAATCTTCTATAGATTATAAACTCTAAATTTTCAATTTATATATTTTGAGAGTATAATGAAATTCTAATTCATAAATTTTTTTCTATGCTTAAATTTTTTGAACCATGATTTTGGATCAGGATCATATATATTTTTTATGCTTTTTATTTTGATTTGTATTATTATTTGACATGTTCATCCAAAAGCTAACTAGGAATAGACATGTATATCTTATTATTGTTAAAAATTTATTTTTCTCTTTGACTTATTAGAAATATCAATCATCTCGATAAATGATTTCAATCTATTTATATGTAATGTATTTTTGTTACTAAATCTTCTTATTTATAAGTATTCTGTATATCTTTTTTGTATGATTGAAGTTATTGATAATTTCATTGTTTATGATAGCATGCATTTTCTAGAATACGATGGTGGCAACCATACGGATACATTCTCTCACATTAGAATATACACAATGTCAATTTTACGAAAATTATCCAAAGAAAATTGCCAAAATTAATTTAATTGTGGCAAACATAGCATTTGCCACAAACTATGAAGTTTGGATTACAGACACACTGCCCACATATAACGTGTCCACGTGCAGGCATGTGTTATTGACTCTGTGTGAAACCTGGCTTTCCTTATAGTTTCTGCTTTGTCAATGTGGCCATGTTCAGAGACCTTTTTTAAAGTCGCAAATAGTGTTTGGAACTAGCAATGTACTTTATGGCACAGCAAGGCTTCTGGAAAACCAAGAGACATCCTCTCCGTTCTGACTTCCTTCACAATGTCTTCCAGATGGAGATTATTTTGAGATTTTGGAAGAAACTAGAAGAATTGTGAACTCGTATCGCCATGTTCGTCATCTCTGCTCGTGTTTGTGGTAAATGCAGCAGCGTTAGATTCATTGTTTGCAAGGTTGCTCTCGAGGAAACCTTGCGACCAGTGATCACCAAGATCGTAGCCACTAGTCATTGGATCAGACAACGGTAGAGCTTGGAGAGCTGCAATGAAGTCTCATGAGAGAGGTGTTTGATATTCGAAAGGCAGCATTGGAGCTGCCAAATGTCAGTTTTGGATCATGCATTGTCCATTAAATGATCGTCCTTGCCTCTTCTCATATCATCTCAACCGTTCTCCAATTAGCTTTTGGCCAGATCCTGCATCATCAATTAGAATAGCTCCAAGCCAAGAGTTCTCGAACAATGTTCTCATCAGATCTGCAGTTCGTTAATACTTAAAATCCACCCGGGTCTCAAACGAGACGAGGCAGAGAGAGGTCGGAGGAGGCCGCTCGCATCGGATGGATGTCCATTGACAAGCACTCAAGCACGAGAAATAATCGCTGCTCGGTGTTCCGCCTCTCTCCATGCCGATGACAGCGTGATGTGGAAATTCGCCCATCTCTCAAGATTAAAATGAGCACTCGCTTCGACTGTGAGTCGACCCCGATGTGATCGAACCAATCGTGTGAGCTTTCTCGTTAAGATTCCTTTTGTGAAAATAGAAGACCTGCATACGAAAATATAGAACGAAGTTAATAATGAAGTGAAGTCTTGGAGATGGACGATGTGGATCTTGATGTTTCCTTAGTTTCATGTCACAAAATGACGAACTATTTGGTCAAGATAGACGTGGTGATAAATCCACTCCATGTTTGGATTGGAAAAAAAGTAAAAGGTAGGAATAAAATATAGACCAGGATGGATGAACTACAAAGGACTGAAATATACGTCTTAAAAGAAGTATTAACGCGCGATGAACACCTAAGTCATCCTAATGGGTAGAGATTTCAGTCTAAAGGAAAACTCTACATTTAAGAGGTTTATTATTTGATATCAATAGAAACTGAGTAGTACGTGTGATTGACATACAACTGGAATCGCCCATGACTTTGTTAACTTTGTTTTGAACTTGAGTTTAACAGTTTGCATTTCTATAAGATGAATTAAATTGAAATGGGAAAAATGTGATTAGTAGGCTTAGTATATACCGGTGCAGATTATAAGACCGACGTAGATTGATGTACAAAGTTCAAGACAAGCATCGAAATTCCGAAATGTATTCGAGACACAAAGAGATACAAGGACTTTGGAGGCTCTTCGAAGATCCAATCTCATTTTATGCTTAGACTACTCCATATCTCTAGCTCTTCTCTTCTGTTTGTGTGAGGAACACAATCAGTCTGATCTGACTTCCAACAAGCTGAACTTTGGAAATTCTCACGAATCGACTGGGAGAGAGAAATTGCTGCAGCAAATTTATACAAAATTTTATTCCGTTACGAGCTGGTCAAATAATTCAAGCACATTATATACGTCTGCACCGTCCTTTCAGATCAGATCACTGCGCTCACTGCCTGTCTCGGAATCTTAGGCTCAGGGTTAGAAACCTGGCTTGACAATGTCAAACGATTGTCACTACGACAGCGAGCACGATCCCTGAAAGTGAACGATCCGTGAACGGCTGCCGTTCATAACGAGCTAAAGATTTGACGCCATGCAAATGCCTGCGCTTGCTTGATCAGTGAATCGGACTGAATGAGAAACCACTAAATTTCGGAATTATCTTCCTTCCACTAGACCACTAAATATCTGACTACTCCCTGCTAGAGATGCTTCCCACTCGATCGTTGTGAGCAGATTTTGAGATAGACTGAAAACAATCTGTTTCATGTCAGGTCTGCAACCAGCGTCGTCATCCACGCACGCCTTCCCTAGTTGTGCCAGCTGCAAAGAAGAGAAGGGATCAACCATTAGTCTGATCTGTAGTTGAGAGTGAGATGAGATCCCACAATTCATATCAGGACGATTCGCAGAAGCCAATTTGATTCAGAGACAATTTGCTGCCATCATCCCCGATCAAGGATAGTCTGCCTGACCCACTATTGTAAGTGGGACGGAGGTTTAGGGTATGACAAACTGTCCACGATAAAGGATTGTAATGACGAGCACAAGATGCCTGGACTAGTTAAAGTATGCAGAAGAAAACGTCACAGGCGAGATGCACAGTTCATGGTTTGGGTTGTACCTTGTATGAAGCCTGGAATGAGTAAGTGCCATCAAGATTCGGGTCCACGCAGGACCGGAATTTCTTGGTCTTTGTCAGATCGTCAGCCTCTGGATCCAGTACCTCCAGCATCTGGAGGAAAGAGTCCAGTTAGTACAGTGTTCGTCTCTCGTGCGAGAAAAAATTCCTCTTATTTCAATGCACGAAGGGCCTGTGCCTTGGTCACTGTCCAAGAATGATCCTCTAATCTGGATTTCATGCATGATCCAAGCTCTTCATCAAACTTCGAGAAAACTGAATGTTTGCTTTGCTTTGCCAAAGAACGGTCCATCATAAAAGCGAGAAAAAGCAGGACGATCTGATTTGATTCGATTCTGGAGAGAATTTTGATCAAATCCTTGACTGTTCCAAAACAACATCAGATCGTTTGGCAACAATATTCTCAAATTAAACCACAAAGAGACAAATCAAATCCAGCGCAGCTTCTTCCGATACTTATTGACAAAATATGGAAATCTGCAATTAATTCGGATCTTCTCGATGAAATTCCTCCTTCAGTCTTTTGATTGATTTTTCTTCTTCATCTGCGTTAAATTTGAGTATTAAGTTTGGTAAACACCAAAGATATCAGAGATTGCCGATGTTGAGGAGAGTGGCTGCCGGATCCAGGTTTCGTTGTTTGGAAAGCCTCACGACCCGTTATGAGCTCGAATAGTACCACTCCAAAGGCATAAACATCACTCTTTGATGTGGCAACTCCATCTCGTATATACCTGTACGTTGCGACTGCAGTTTAGTTGAACAGTAGAAAGAAAGAAAACAGCAACGTGGTAGATTTTCATTTTAAGTTACCGTACGTACGGTCCAGACGAATTGAACATAGAAATTTTCTCAAATTCAGATGATTGAATCGTAAACCTAATGTCATTAATTGATAGGCCGAACTTACTCTGGAGCCAAGTAGCCGTAAGTTCCACAAATGGGCGCTGTTGTAATCGTATCTGTGAACTCATCCCGATGCTCTATCAGCTTTTGTAGTCCAAAATCTGCAAGCTGCAAACGGAGGACTGCTATCAATTATCAGTCTTACAAGACACCGATTCCATGACTCTGCAGGAAGTCTTGTACCCTTGTATCTAGAAATCATAAGAGAATAAGGATGTCCAAATCCCAGGCAAGTAATCGACCTGAGTGGTACTCGTTAAGCGCAGGGTCCATTGAATCAGCCCATTACAGTTACATGAGACCAAAGTTTATAGCATCGATAAGATGTTTATTCAGTAAGTGGCTGAAATAATGAAAGGAATCTGAATTTTGTTCAAGACGGGAACTTTTATTGTAGGTCTCATTGTACTAAAGCTACATCCTCAATCCGATTTGTAAAATATTAGTCATTTACACGATCCAGTATATACAGTTGATGATGAGCATAAGGCAGTACTGATAATACCCATAGGATTGACGTACCTTTGCCCGGTAAAAACTATCTAAAAGTATATTTCTGGTCTTCACATCCCGGTGAACATAATGAGTCTTCGTATGTTCGTGAATATATTCTAAACCTCGTGCTGCATCCAAAGCAATCTGAACCCTCGTTGTCCATGGAAGAGGAACGTTCCCTGGAGAGGCAACCGACGTATGCACTTCACTACACTGTCGCCAGTCTCGAAAATGAGGGACCAAACCATCGTTAAGGAAAAATCGAAATGAAAATGGATTTATTTCATTTTAATCCGTCTAAGGAATATGTTTCGGTTGGACAGGGGAATACTAATAATTAGCAAATATTCTTCAACATGCATTTTGTACACATATTAAAACATTTGTTTGCTAAGGCATATATCTAGGCTTATGTTCTGAAACAGCTAACTTTACCTTTCGAAACTGGATCGTGCAGATGATCACTAAGAGATCCATTGTCTGCAAATTCATAAACCAAGAATAGATTTTCTTCACCAGCAGCGTACCCGATGAGCTCAACCTGCAATTTAATGAACACGTTGAACCTTGAATTTCCGAAATATCTGAGCCCAGTCAATATTTACGAATAGAATGTGAACTATTATGCAACGGATCAGTCCAAAATCCGAATGGTGTTGTTACTAACCAAGTTGGTGTGATGAACTTTGCAGAGAACCTTCAATTCCGACATAAACTCCGTCGACTTTGATGCCTTCATTTGCTTGATAGCCACTTCCTGTTCAGCAGCGTAAGAAGTCAGGAAACACGATTACCCTTGAAATGCACGTTCCATCTCTACTTTCTTCGTATGTAAGGGAGAGAAAATAGCAATTCTATATCGTTAAGGTTATACATTTTGTAGGAGGAATAGAACACTATGCGCAGCGTCAAGATACATTTCATTTACGGTAATGTTTATATGCTCAAAATCTGTAGGACAGCAGCCTTATCAGTCTTGCACTTTCTCTGTTCGTCCAAATGTTCTACATTGATATAAGCTTGTGGACCACGAAGGTTTCTGAAACCAAGTGGTAATATTTCAACAGGCTAAGAAGTAAAGTGAACTGTGAACTGTGACAAAATGACGGTCAAAAACTGGCATTATGTGTTAGACAGACCTGATGTCGAAGAGTTCCACGATAGACAGTGCCAAATTCACCTTGTCCAAGCCTATTTGTTTCTAGAAACTTGTGAGTGGCGGCAAAAATTTCTCCATAGTGGAATACTATGGGTTTTTCTAGATCAAAAACACTCATCGCTTCTGCAAAGAGATTCAAAACCCATATCAGAAGATTGCGCTCCGTGCTTGCATCTTCAACGATTCATGTATGCAAATACTCTTCAAGCCTCATGCAAATTTAACTAATTGGAGCTTGGGCGATTTATTTCGTTCCAAACATTACGTTACAAACCGTTTATGAGCCTCTGACGGAAATTTTGACATTTGTCTTTCTCAGCTTTGAGGAATTCAGCAGTGAAAGTATAGTGGCTAGTTTGATGATGTAGCTGCAGACGTCGTACTCATTCAACAAAGCATGGATGTACAATCCAGACTTTATCTATTAATGTCATTTCAAACCCCATGACACAAACTGGACTTGAAGCAAATTGGTCATCTTTTCTCGTTCTGTTATTACCACAGACCAAGAATGAATGTGGATCTTCGCAATGGTATGAGAGTTTTATCACGAGACACAATGAAGCTTTATGCACGGAATCATCTTGGGACCGAGCTAATGACCAGTAGAGGGCCGCACATTTATCACCTCTGGGAAGCGTGATACTGCGTTTGACGTTGTTGTTGACACTGGAAGGTCGATGTCCGCCGATTGCTGCGCAGCTTTTGAAGAAGGAGCTCAAATTCAGGAATCCGCTGGACCTGACCGTTTCAGAGCTGGAATGGTAGGATCTGGTGCTTCGGGACAGGACCACATTGTTGTACGAAGCACGATCGGAGCATGCCTGCTTCTGCTCACGGATGCGAAGCAGAACCAGAGTGATAAGGAGGATTGTGAGGAGAAGTGTCACCACTCCGGCCACCAAGCAGCCTGCCACCAGACCCATCATGTTGCCTCCATACGACTGCGACTGCGCCCACGCAGCAACTCCCGAGCCTCTGCATCCATCAAATTACATCACGGTGACAATTTGCGGTGATCTCAGGAAATTCACCCCTCTGGATCGACCAACCACCTCCGAGCTCTCCCTGTGATACTCCATAAACTCAGAGCACCACCTCGTTCTATACAACTAAATTTCTCCACCATCATCATCTTCAAATCCACAATTTCGGAAAGAAGAAGGTAAAACATCGATAGAAGAAGAACGGCAATCAAAGCGGGTCCAAGATACAGCAACCATTCGGACCATTCTCGTTGAATCTACAATGTCTGGTCGTGGTGCACGGGAATGAACAAGAGGATGCGAAGTATTCAAGACACGCAGCAGCAGGAGACATACCAGGAGCACCAGCGATAACGGACGGCTCTAAATCCGAGCTTACAAATCATGTCGCGAAACACAGCACAAACAATATAAGTACGCGATTCAATATTCCCGGCAGTTGCATGTCACGGGACATGACATCGTGACTACAAACGGGGATCTGATCCGACCCTTCATCCTCACTCTACGGAGTGCAAATGAGCGGCACATTCGCTTGCATGCGGAGAAAATGTGCAGCCGTCATCTACGCCAGCAGAATTTTAATTAATTTACTGACGAATATCCACGATGGCCCCCACTGTCCGCACCAAGTACCTCGCTCTCAGCCTGGGGTCCACGACCGAGCTGATATTTTGCTCTCATATATTACCTCATAAAAAAATCCTCTCCCTCCCCATCGCTCGCCTGAATCTACTGTCCATCGCAGCTGAATCACAAGGCCTCCACTGGCACGCAGTCATGCCTTGAATATAAGAATTCCCCTCGAGGCCCTTGGACACATTACAGTGTTCAGGCAGCCGATGGATGATGCTTCAGGAACGTGCATGGCAGTGACACTCGGAGCTTGGAGAGGCAATTTGAACTGTTGGCGTCGAAAGCGCGACGAAAGGCCCAGCGAGGGAGGGAGGGAGGGAGGGAGTGAAGCTCACTGAAGGTCAGCAGGATGAAGAGGTTTCGGCCCGAGGATACGAGCTCAGCGTTGGTGATTTTGTGATCACCGTCGTCATCTTTTGATCAGCATGGAACGTATCAGCGATCTGAGTGAGTGATTGAGTGAGGGAGGGAGGGAGTCGCTTTGCTGAATCACGTACCTAGTGATGGATTGCTGTCAATGGACGCAGCAGTGAACCTTGTCGATCCACGTCTAATTAATTGCCGGGAGTGAGAGGAGGGAGTGGGGATGGATCGCGGGAATGAACACGATATCGTCGAGCAGGCTATGTCGGCGAGATCTTTCTCCGACGCGCTGACAGTGTAGGCCTTCTCTCGGCGAAGTAGGCCACTCGAGAGGAGACACTATCAGTCCACGGCGAATTGAAGACGTTTGTTGGTCGATTTACCGGTCGCTCCCGCGACCTCCTCTGCGGAGCGCGACGTAGAGGAGGTCGCGCGATTTTCAGCCGTTCTCGTTGGGGTTCTTCTTAACCATGCGCCAACCGCGGATCCGTTCCCGTAACGGGACCGACAGCTCAAAGAACATCATGCGCAGCGAGCGCATCGGACGGCGGCCGCGTGCTCGAAGGCTTGAGCGTGCCGATCCCCGCCATCGGATCTTGTCCTCATACGGGACTCCTCGCTCTCACGGGGCTCTCACTTTTGTCCCGCCGGGGGTTCGGGTACGTCGGTTCTCGTGCTCGAGCTGCGGCAGCGACTCGTCGCAGTGATCGATCTTCGAGCTCGTGGGCGACCGTTGATAATCTATCGCCTTCTGAAACCAGCCGGCAGGCGATGAGGAGCCATCATCTTCCTGTCGAGATTGCTGGAAATGATCGGAGTCTCTGCCTCGCCGTCGAGCTTCATTAACGGCAATTTGACAAATATCTGCCGGCAGCATTAGCAGCAGCAGCATCATCATGCCAGTGCTCCTTACCACGTGCACTTGCGATTACCGTCACAGAAGCCTCACATTTGCTTCTAAGGTTTGACGGCCCTCGACACTCGATCAGAACTTTAATCAGCACCGACCGTAATGACCATCACCGATCGATGCTTCTGCTGGACATGGACAAATTGGCTCTGCGAGTTGTTCAGATTTCCCGACGAGTCCGGAATAAAATCGAGCACCATCGTGTTCAAGCTAGGCTGCTGCTCCTAGTGTAGGAGAAGGAGCAGCTGATTCTCGTCTGGGGAATAACGGCAGTAAGCCAGTCGAACCTGCTCTTGAGTCCGAGACAATCCTGGGTGGGTTTCGGACGACAGATGGAGATTACAGACGAAGTTGTACAGACAAATCAGCGACTTTGACTGCCAGTATCAAGCGACAGGGGCAGGGAAGATAGTCAGTACCTGTTTTCTTCTAAAACAGGAACTGGCACTGTTCGTGTTGCTTCGGAAGAATTAGAGTCATCTGTCCAGAGCAAGAGAAATGTGCCATCAGGAATTATAGCGGGTTTGTAGCACAGCATGCAGCAAAGCAGCGAGTTCTTCTAGTTCGTTCTGAGCAGAAGTGAAAAAGGGAGCATCAGATCAGATCAGTTTAGACTCGAGACTGCTGCCATGCCCAGCCTCGAGCTGAATCTGAGACTAAATCTGAGAAGCGAGAAACTCGGAGACTGGGAGTATCTTCGACCTCAAAGGTGAACAAGACATCGATGCCAAGGGGAGAAACGGACGGAACCCACAAACAGCAACCGTATTAGCCAACGAGACAGACAGGAGAGCAGTGTTGTCAAGCCACTAAATATTACTTACTCTCCCAATGCTCTTGGTCTTCTCCAGACAGATACAAAAGTCTCGTCCTAAGTAGTGACGATCCATGGCCGGCACTCGCCGGCTACGCAGCCTCAGACGAGATTTCCAGGCAAATTATGGACAACCGGAGTTGTGGTTGGAACCATGTAACACGGACTTAAGTACAGTATATCCAACTCGTGGTAAACGTGGGTAGAGTCGCAGGCGTTTGCTTTACTGATTCAACCACAATACGTAACTTCAAATCACCGAAGAGTCCTTGAAGTTTGCCCCCATCTGATGCGTAGAGGCTAGAGCAAGCAATGGTACAATTTCGTGGTCACGTGATATCAGGATCCTCGACTTGCTTGGGAAGTTTAAGATTCTAAGGGTTTTCTTATCAGTATCTAAGGGATGATGCAAGACCCATGCTTAGGATAAAATATTCCGGGTAAGCAGAGTGAATGTTTCCATCGATCACACTGTTGAGCAGAATTGCCATCATTGAAAGTCGAGATGAATCACAATTGCATTTGTCTAAGACATGGACCTAAAAATCATATGGATAGACGGATATGGACAGCATCATATTCTTGAACCTGGAGATTATCACTCTGGTAAAGTTCTCTAGCAATGTGAGCTGAGGACTCGTGCTTGCTGTCAGTGTCCACGGGGACCAAACACACTGAAGGGACAACAAGGGTCACTGGCTTAGCAAAAAGATTCTATTGTTCCAAAACTGAATTGCCGCTGAAGGACACATCTTTTGGGGAAAAGTTTATTCGAAGTTGAACTTTCAGTTTCGCTGGAAGTTTCGACGAAGAGAAGGGACTAAGACCTGGAGAAAACAATTTGTATTATGTAGGTGCGTCAATTTTGTTTCTTGTTTCTCTTCCTAGATGTAATTCCCTCTTTTTTCCATACAATCCTCTTTCTGTTAAAGTGAGGTTTCCATTATCATGGCCGTCATAATCTGCACTTCTTGTCACTTACTGGACTCTCGACACAGGTCAAGGCCTGATTCAAGTGAAGGTGTACTCCATATCACAGGTGTAACTTTCCTGGTACTGGTCTCTGGGGTGATTTTGTTGACCATCTTGCCATTAGTCTGAAGGTTATGCTACTGGGAAGATAAGGACAACAAATAAAGAGAAGAGCGTAAAGCACAGAGGAAGTAATAGACAATTTAGGGTTAGATCGTTGCACGTCTATGAAGCAACATCAAAAACTTTATATTCATTTTTCTCTTCTCTAAATGATTATTGAGATTATACGAACTTTGCACGCTAAGCCAGGCCTCGTAAGACTTGGGAATTCCCATAATTATCGAAATTAACTTAAATTATGGATTCTATTTTTCTTAATTTTGTTAAATCTCGGATTTACTCAGAAACGCACTTTATCACTCGATGATGGTCTAAATCTGACTTCGATAAATTGTCTCTGGGATATATTTTGAGTGTTAAAAGTTGAATATGTATAAACTACGAGCCCTCACTGCCATGAAACAATTGTGAAGGCCACTAGGATTTCTTCAAATGAGATTGTATCATCAAGCCAATGTGACTGCACACCTTCAAGAGTACGCAAAATCAATACTGCAAGAAAGGAGCAAACTTCTAGACGCAAGTGGGATATGCTACAACCTTTTGAGGATATATGGATCACAGCAACAATGGTTTGTGATTGATGAGAAATTTTCAGCTGGCAAAAAATGTAAAAGATAGTAACCAGTGGAATATAGTCTTAGATGCAGGATGTATGGACAGGGATAGGGGGTAAGAAGTTCATGGAGATTAGATCATAAAGCTTCAGCCACCATCAAGCACAGTAAGCAATATTTGCAAAACAAATTTCACTCTTTGATTCTTCTTCGTAAAAGCTCAGCTTTTCCTTCCAGACGTCGTATAAGGTCCATTCCCCGTGTCTCAGCACCGTGATTGACTAAGGCCTATGATACTGACGGTGTCCTTAATTTATGGACGCCGCAAGTTTTAATTTTGGTTAATTCTGGGATTCTGTAGAGGAATCCCAGAACTTAGGAGGCCTGCGCTAAGCGCTTGAACGCGGATGACATATATAGGAAATCTGGTTTTGAACAGTAGTGTAGAAGTAGGCATAAGAGCCGAGTTTCTAATGACGTGAATCTCAGAGAGATTTTTTAGGGAGTCCATGTAGGAGATTTAGTTCTCTAATATTTCTCTTCTCCTACTTCCTCTTTGTGTGTTTTGCCTTACTTTTCCTGTTAGCGTGCCCTCAAGGCGAAATCTGCGTATCTTGCAGAGTTTGGTAGATGCTGATGTATATCCTGCAGTTTACATACTTACAAGGTGTATATGCTTAATCCTTCTCCTTTGTTGAAGTACACTACAACGACGTTTCTCTAGCAGTGCAAGTTTACTTTGTGACAAGATAAATTCTTGTGTTCTCCCATATTGTCAAATAAGTGGACAATTCACTTGTTCTATTATAGTTGCAGAAAAATTTGTGATATCAAGATTCATGGAAAAGTGTGTTTGTATAGCAAAAATTATATTTTTAAGTTTCAAAACTCAAAATCGTTACGTTGTATTATGAGACAACAGCAGCGAGAAATTATTATCTCGGATATAAGGTAATAACCGTAGGGAAATTGGTATATCTTAGTTTCATCTCATCCCTGTGATTTATTACTTTAAAAATTAGTAAGCAAGGATACTTCACCGCAACCACATGCTTGCCAGAAATTTATTTCTTGCAAGAAACAAGACACAACTTTGGCGAGCCCATGGTGTTTGTGGGTTACCACAGAAATATAGCCTAGAAAACAGAGCAAGAGTGTCTTTTACAAAATCTGACGAAATTCGCCATCTGAGCAGGAATCCAAAACAAGACGAAGACATGTTACCGTCAAAGCTATGAAGAGGCAATGCTAACACAACAGAATATGGGGTGAAAGCAAGAGCGGCAGCCTAGGTTGCAAGCAAGCATGTTGAATGTGAATGAGTTCAACAAATGTTTTGCTTCCGTTAGTTCAGAAAATATAAAGTCAGAAAACTCCAAATGGTTACCCACAAACATGTCCATTCCACTCCACATTTGCGCATTACATGGTTGCCAATCCATGCAAACAAACAAGCAGACTAGTATACAAAGGTGAAAGATACTGACTTATAATCCTTCAAACACCTTTAAGGTGAATTTTCGTTTGGAACATTCCTCGGACCTTTGGGATCATCTTATCATGGAACAATAAACTTGTCAGATCTTCACCACCTATAGTTCGAATGTATATCTAACTCCTCAGCAAGCAGCTCCATCTTGGATTCACCTTTTTCTATGGTACTCAAAAATACTGTACAGTAGTCAAATTTTTCAAAACACAGCCTAATTACATCAGATCTAATCACTGATGCTTCAATAGTGCACTTCTTTCTCAGCAGAGACAAAAATGGTGATGGAATGCTGATAGGCTACATAGTTCCTTGACCGACCTTTCCTACGACAGAAAAGACTCCAGAACCTCGTGCAGACACTTGGGGGTTCTCTCAAGGTTGTAGACAAACGCCGACATGTTCTAGACCAGAAAAAATGAGAATATCTACAAATACGTATATTGCCGCAGCTTGCCGCAGCTAGGGCAAAACCTCGGTCCCAGGTCACCAATCACGTACAGATAATGAGCTACCTGAGTTTCACGATTATTCTGCTCAATACGTGCTTTTGGAGGAAGTGTACAAGATGCTGCATTTTAAGCGTCCGTACCCGTTGCGGCGGGGTTTGGCAAGCGGTTGTAAGCAATAGCATGATCCTCTTGATATTCCGAACTGTTTATCTCTGTTAACCTGCACAATTTCATGTTGATGAAGAATCAAGTATTGTCAACGTCATCCTCTTAAAACTCAGTGCTGGTTATCTGTCTAAACCTGAGAAAACTTGGATACCATTGGAATAATGGCACTAGTGCAAAACAGTAAGTTCCTTGTATAATGCGAAGATTTCAAATTTCAGAAGGCCAGGTTACCTGCTGATGGTACGGTCCTTCGTAAACCCCAGATCGTTGTCTATAAGAATGTCTGCATCTTCGGGATTGTTCGAACGTGATGAAGTCCTCTTTTGCTTTGGTGCTTCAGATATCGGCAACACTTTCTCAAATAGCTCCACAGGCGTAGCCTCGGCGGAGCACATAAATCTCGCCTTGTGTTCATACATTACCTGGGACGCAAATTCCATCATAAATTCATCTACCTTCGCTCATACTATGAAAACAACTCCTTCATAATAAGCTGCTTAGTAGAACTAACTAAATTGGGGTGACAAAGAAAGATAGGTGATGACGAACTTACATCTATCAATGTCGTAAACCGATAAGCTGAAGCACGGTTATGAGAACCAAATTTAGGGACTCCGTCCAGAGCTAGAGTATGAAATTTTTCTGCACACATCGGGATGGAATGTAAATATAGTAACTTAAGTAATGTCCTTCTATGAAGGCATGGAAAACAGTTTGTGCAAAACTTCTTCCCCTTTAGATTGCTTAGGCACCAATAAGTGCCTCACTAATCTTTAATTCAACTCAGTAGCGAGCATATTCAATAGACCCCAAAAACTTGGAGAAGAGAACACATACCAAAAAGCCCAATATAATCAGCAGCGCCCAGAGGCATATCACAAAGCTCGTGGAATTGAAACAGAGCACATCCATCGGCTGCCAAAGGTACCTGCAAGCAACCAGGCAAAAATTTAAGTTCACTGAATTTGAATGCATCAAATCTGCTTTAAGTTTTCAACTTTTATCGATTCAAGACCTTCATGTCACTCCCGTTACCTGCAGCGTTCGACCCATTCTAAGTTCTGCAGTAGTTGGCCGGGGTTCCTCTCCATCTGTAATTTGACCAAATTTTAGATGCAGCAACTCGGATGCATTTGGTCCCACAAAGTACATTCCTTGCTCGGCCTGCACAAACGATCATGCAATGGACGGGTAAGCATAACGCTGTTAAGCATGCAGTAACTTTACTTATAGAGCCAAGAGACAGTCAACTACCTCCAACAACGCCCATCACTGAAGTTCGACATTTATTTTCACCTTCTAAGACGGAGCCTACAGCGACTACTCAGTTTCAAATTGTCTTCCTTCTTCCGCCTCCCTCTTCAACCCATCTTACTGCTTTCCAGTCTTTTACCAATAGCACTGACTAGGCAGGGTTTTGTGAGTTTAGGGTTTCGTTCAGTTTTGTGTTCAGGCTATGACAGGCGTATTCTAATGAGTACAATCGTGAACGAGTGAGATTCGATTCAAGTAGGAAGAGTTGAGTCTTACCGCAGTGAGTTTTCGGTAATCGATCGATGACCCGATTTCGTGAACCACACACCGACTCTGAGTAATACATCAAATATATCGAATTAGTTACTAGGTTCGGGAAAAAAATAGGTCAAACTAAGAAAACTGCTAACTGAAATTGAACTGACAATCCCAAACTAAATTGCCGATGAGCTTGTTCTTTCAGAACAAGCTTATCGGCAAAATCAAGTACTATCTGTGAAACTCTAAACCTGATCGACTGATGACCGAGAATGTTATGCAACAATGAAAACTTCTTACATACTGACTGTGATCTGACTAAAATGCCTTATCTCGTTGGCAATCTCAAATAACTCAATCGATTGTGCTTGCAACAATCCCGTGACTTCTGAATTGTATTGTAATCCTGACGGTTGTTTCTGCTTGCAACTAGTACATTACTTTCACAATTTCTCTTTGACTAGGACAAAATTGTTCACAGTACTAAGTAAACTACTGACCTTCATTATATACACTGTTACTACTAATATAGTGCTTCAGGTCATCACCTTCAGATTGGCTATGAAAGGAAGAAACAAGTCTCGCTGCAGACCACCTTCATACAATTGATCAGGGTGCCGATTCGATGTGGACACTAAAATCTGCGACCAACAAGAATCTGCCAGTAAGAACGCCGACACCTGTAGATCCTCTTACAAAACAACAACGTTTACATTCTCTACCATTGTATCTTCCGTCTCGAACGACATTAAATGAACTAACGTGCGAGATTATCGTGCCACCGAGCATGGTGGGCATTGTTACTATACCAGACCGGTCTCCTGTATTAGTACGCAAATTGGGATTGAAGAACTTACAGTTCCCCTTTTAAAAAGATGATCAAATAGCCGGTTTAAAATAAGGGCGTCTGCCACATCAGTAACCTGTCCATGCCCAGCGAATCCACTTAACTCAGTTATGCAAAGTATAAAAATCTAATATCCATGTCAATATACAAAAGATTTCTTGATCAGCTTGTGATGAGTGGATAAGTAGAAGTTACACTTAAGAATAATCTTATTGACTGAAACCGAAACATTGTAACTTTTCTCACCATAAACTCGTCAATACACAGCAAAACTGCCTCCTTCAAAATTTCATCAGCAACTACCGCCAAGGGATCTGCCTGGCTTCTGGTTTTCTGTGAACATAATGCAACAAATCAAATTTCAGAATGTCAAATCTTTTCCAAGCAGTCTATAAAGTTGAGAAGAACTCCTTACGAAATATGTATCAAGACCAAACATATGAAGACTGTAATCTGAGTTAATTCTCGAAGACAGGAAATACAGTCATCTCTCATTCAGTAGAATCAAGCATCCTCACTCTTGGATCCTTACACTGACTAATCTCTTCTGGATCAGCCATGTCGTTTTGGTCGACAAGCTCCTCTTATTCACTGGATTGGCCGCAATTATTAGTGGGCTTATCAATCCCTATAGGTTAAGAGAGGAGTCCTGATCAAAGCCTCTCCCTTTCAGCAACAAGGGTTAGAAGAGTTAATGGATGTGCACCGACCTTTAAGTTACGAACAATGAACAGAAACTGCGTGCAGTTTGAGGCTCGTCATAATGAAACAAGTCAGCTAAGCTTGGATTGTTATCGAAAGTCTCGGATCAACTTACAAACCCTTCGTAAGACATCCGATCCTGATCATTTCATATCGTTATCATTAGATTATTTCTTTCAGCTGAAAGAACTAGGTTCTCACGTTCTTTACTAAGCAGGCAATATGACTGATCACTCCCGGTTTCCTTCTAAGATGATCCCGAAATTGATCTCAATAGACGAAAGATTTTCCTCTTATTAGTTGGACTTTCTGACGTGTGAGACTCTATCTTCCATATGTATTTCCTTGGCTTCATAACTTCTAGACTATCTATCCCATTTCAAGCATACGTACATACCTGGAGACTGGAATGTACATCGAGCATGAAATCATGAAAATGTATTCTCGATTTCCTCCATGTTTTGGGCCTGCAGAACACAGAAACGTGTCAGATGTGATGATTAAGGACCTCATGCAGCACAAATGCTTTCACGAGCTAAACACTGGATTTCCCACAGCTCAGGTACTTAAAATAAGCTGTATTTATTGAAATTTGCCTGTCACAGCATGAAAATCACAGACCTCGCATCCCAGCTCACCGTTGCATTTGTAAGACTAATAAAAACAATCCAGGCTCAATTCACTAATCTCGAGAAACAATTAGCTTGCTCAAACTCAGGTAAGTGTACAAATTCAAGATAACAGTATCACGAAGAACAAATAAGGAATCCATCCAACAACTCATCTCTCAGTATAAGAAAGGAGTGCAAAGCGAAGCCTATATCGAATGTGTCCCAGCTTACTGTTCTGGGAATCAAATTGTTATACTAGAGTTAATCGAGATAGCGTGAATTGCAATTTATTGTGTGATTCTAAAGCATCAATTAGTGGATATCATTTAGCAGAAGCAAATTCTCAAGAACGTGATAGTAAACTAATCTTAGATGTCCTGAAAGGGTGTGGTTGGCATAGCACGACTTCCCCTGTCAACCACAATAGAATGAACAAACGTAGCTACGAGGCAGCCGATCATCGTGCTACTCAGCGAGTATTTTAAACTCGTCGTGACCATTTATCACGTAACCAGGAAATTTTTAGTACAGTATGTAAAATGTATGGCCAACTGTTTATTTCTCGATCGTCGGATCAACTGGATGTAGAACCCGTGTTTGACCATTCCTTTGGTTAGTAAACAGTGTCCCCCTAGTCTACTTGCTCACCGTTCCACCAATATCTAGCAATTAAATAATCTATAGGTCGCAATCTCACCGTCCAATATGCTCAGCTCACGAGAAGTACAGAGAAGGGCTAAGTCCTGAAAGTTTCAATTCGGAGGGCATTACTGCTGTGATGCAAAAGTACTTGACTTGATTTTCATGTTGGAACTGACTCAAAAACCCCTGAAAGGTCTCGCCTAATAAAGTGCTATCTGACATAGCTACAACCGGAGTGTAAGATTAAAACATCAGATCAACTTCTTTAGACTGCGGCCCAGTCTTCCAGTCAAACAAATATTATTATTTATTTCAAGGTCAAAATAAGCTAGCCCGCAAAGTGAAACTAATAGGTTGCGTACAGGAGTCTCGACGTTGGACTTACAGCTCATCGAAAAACATGTCCATTAACATGGTTTTGCCTGTTCCCACGCCTCCGTACAAGTATAGACCTCGAACAGACGGCTGTGCATTCCATTGAACTCTTGGCATCAGCCGTGAGAACCAACTCCCACTGTAGATAAGAGATCCCAGAAGCATGTCAAAATAAAAACTGGAAAGTAATTCCAGAATTCTCGATCAAGTTTGCGTTAAGCTATGGAGCTAAACGATGCGACTCTACAAACGAATCATACAAAACTAATCCTTAAATCACCCAGAGCTTCAGTCTTTGAATGCGTACCTTGAACCATTCCGCGATTCCCAAGACGCCTTCTCCAATCCCACTTCCTCAGATGTGCTATAAAGAACATCGTATAAAGCCTGAAGAGCTCTCAACGCATCTTCCTGATCGCGGAAGACCAATGATTTAGATAAGAATGAAGAAAGAGAGGAAGCAGATGTCGACGAAATACCGAGGCGAAACAACCGAGAGGAAAGGCGATCAGCAATTTTAAAAAGTCCTTGTTTACGTTCAATTGAAGGTACGACAAACAACGTGGGCTCCGACAGAGAATCTGGATGCACGAGGCCGTTACAAACCTGGAATTTGTCTCCAGGCTTCAAATCCCCGGATGCAATTCGACGCTGGTACTCTGCCAGAGGACCTCGTTGCTCACCAGACACGTTATCATTCTCTGCCATGATATGAGTTTCACATCAGCAGAAATCATACTCCGAGCGCAACTTAAATAAATTTGCAGACATAATAAATCAAACTCTCATCGAATCAAAGCTCTTAGAATCAAACGCGCAAAACAAGAGAGAAATTTCAACCTGCTAAGGAAACGGAAGCAGAAACCGAAAATTTTCTCGAGAAAACTTTCAAGTCCTTCGGGAGCAATGGACCCTCAAAGTCACGGGTGCATCTGCTACTAGACACGAATAATTTCGGCTGTGCCTGCGGAGGATCGGCTCGCAAAGAAAACGACCGGCCAGCGACAGCCGCGGTGTTTCGAACGTCCGCAGAATGCAATCTGGCGGCACGAAGCGCACGAGCTGCAGACCTCATCTTCAATTGGCGCGGCAGCGATCCTCGAATTTGCAGCTTGTATAGCAAGCCGCTGCGACGCTCTTCCGATAGTCATGTAGAGGACGAAGATATCACGAAAGGACCGAAGGACACATTTCTGCCTCCCTGCCTGCCTCGCGGCCTCCCTTCCTCTCTGCCTCCTTCCCTCGCTGTACTGTACAGCCTTTTGCTCCGACGAGCCGAAACTTCGTGTTTCCGCCCCGGCTCGAGTCAAGCGAGGGCGTGATCCATAATTACAATTACAGAAAATCAGCAGAAGACACCGGGCCCAGACATCGAGAACAACGCTCCCGCTGGCGCTGTCTTGGCCGCCACCGGATCATCAACCCGATCGGGTCGAATGTACAATAGAGGCGCAGGGCAGACTTATCTAAGGCGTCGCCCCGGACATACTCAAGGCGACGCCAGGCAGCAGAAGGCAGCGAGGACGACGACGAGCAGCGCAGGAAAGTGCCGCAAGCGCCTATATCCACAACACGACATCATCACTGCATCACGGCAGCACTGCGGCAGCAATCACGCCCCCCAACTGCCACGTCTCCTCCGCCTTCTCTCGCGCTCGAGCAGTTGTCCGCCCGTGACTCTTTGCCCGCCGTGGGCCCCTCGGACCCTAGCCTCCGATCCGCCTCCATAGCCAGCCGCTCGACCCGGCCAATGAGCTCTGCCCTGCCCTGCCCCGCCCCGCCTTGCCCTGCCGCGTCGAGACGGGACGGGGCGGCACGAGCCCTGCTCTCTCCTTCTCAGCGATTCTAGGGTTCCCCTTTCGCCGGCCTTCCTCCGAAGAACCTGCGTCCCTCGCTTTCCCTCGCGCGTCGCTTTCGCCCGCCTCCGCTAAATCTTCCGCTTTTCACCGACCTCGGCCTCTCTCTCCGCGTACAGCGGCGTCGCCGAATATCGAAGGATTTAGCGGAGACCTCTGTCTCTCGGGACTTTTCGGCGTCCTTGGACCTCCCTCTTCAAGAATTAAATCCCCTCTTTGCTTCAGCCAAAGCTTCTGTCGAGAAAGAAAGAAAGAAAGTCCACGTTTGCCATTTATTTGCCTTTGGAAATGCCGGCATCCTATTATACACGAGGCAGACATCTATGAACAAAATACCGTTCACTGAAAAATAATCGACTGGATTCGCGGAGGTGATGATTAAAAACAAAATGGTATTGGGATTACGGCAGTGATCATATTGTCTACTCAAAATCCTAAGCGACAGCGTTATCCCTACTCGATCCCTATCTCCGTTAATTTAGCGGTGTACGCTTTTCGACCTCCTCCACTCACATTCTGTTCCACAGGTCGAATCTTCTCGACGAATGAATGTTAGCCGGTGCTATGTTAGCGGTCTGTGCGATAATTTAGCATCGATTCCCCAACGTAGCGATCTCTCTTGAGCAGAGGACGCTTCCACTACTGAAGAATCACACCTGTCAGCTTCGGTAGGGCGATGGCTGTGGCTTAGATATGATCAGGACAGCGTCGGGTCGGGCCTTCGGCTTTCGCTCCTTCAACTTCAAATGCCGTCTTTTGGAGAAAGTGAAACCCGTCCGAGTAGCAGGTGATGACGCAATGAACGGAGTACGGTATCGTACCGTGGTCTGACGGTATTTCAGATCTGACTACCTGGTAACACTGCGGGAATGAATAAAGACACCGATACGAAGTACAATGCGGTGAAGCTCGTTCACGGTACTTATGCAGGAAATTGCGTTCATGACACACGGAACCCAGTTCGACCCACAATGCCGGATCGCAGTCCAGGTTCTCCGTCCGATGTGTCCGTAGGTGGCCCCGTCCGGCCTCTTCCTTCTTTCCTTCCTTCCTTCCTAGGGACTCTCGAGGGTGGGTCAAATTACGTGTACGCCAACTGGAGACGAGAACAACGAGTCCACCCGCGTGGCGCTGGGAGAGCACCTTCTCCTACAAGATGGCTTTGGTGGCAAGATACTGTCACGTGGCAATCAATGATTCGCTGATCTCTTTGTCGCGAAAGACGGTGGCATCTTCCAAGTGTCATCTCCGAGAAGGGACGAGAACGCTGTATAGTACGGCAGAAAGGCCGGGCTTTTCCTCGATCGTCGTCTCGGATTTAGACTCTCGAGTGCGAGCTATGGATTATCTTCAATCATTCCCAACTCAGTAGACGGGGGAAGTTGACATCCATCGTACGTCCAGAGTCCTGAGTCCAGTCGTGGAATCGAGAGATTGGATCGTGCGTGTAGGCTGGGACCGAAAAGTACACAGTAGACTAGCAAAGAGGACTGGAAGTGCCCATCACGTCGTACGTGGATGAAACCAAGGCCCGGCCCCAACATAGGCCCCAATGTGTCAGGAAGTGCGGGAGTGTCAACGACTGACTTCTGTGGAGTGAAGTCAGAATCTCCAGGTGTACAGAAGTGTCTCAGTTCTCTCGGATTCCGAGAAGGGTCCGGAGTATAATTAACTCTCGCCGGAGCTTCCCCGGTACCTTCTAGTCGACATCACATGCAACATTGCAGTCGCCTCGTGAGATGAAAGATATTGGTTCATGCAGTCGCCTCGCACATTGAAAGACTTCATGTTCGCCGCGTTGAGTGAGAGATTTTCTTTTGAACTCAATGTTGGAAACTCATTCCCACATGATACTTTCAGTGGTCGATTCTCACTTACATTTGCACTTCAGGACCGAAGTTTGATCCGTTTTATTTCTTTAACCATCCTGCTGAAAATGTCTTGCTTTTAATAATGTCTTGCTATTATTAGAGAAAAGCAAGCCATAATAGCAAGAAGGATAATATTTATATTAATATCTTAATTGATGTATGACATTTTCCATTGTGACCCAACAGTGTCACAATCGGGGCTAGCCCCTGGTGAATGTTCTTCTCCTGTACTTTGAATTTTCCCCTTGGCCCTTAGACTTCTGATTGATCAGATGGTTACCTGAATAAATTTGATTTGACTTTACTTTTAAAACGAAGACGCCTAGTATGATCAAAAAGTGAGATGTAGACGTTGACGTGCTTTTCGAGACGATACCTCTAGAAGTACCACCCGATCTTGACTTGGATTTAGACCAACGCTTCTCTCCCACGACTGTAGACTGATGATCTCAGGTTGTCTTCGCCACAAACGGTCCACTGCTTCGAAAAACTTTTGAAAATGCTTTAGGCATTATATATGTCATGGAATGATTTCACTCATCTTTGAAGCGTTGGTCGTGATAATTTGGTGTACGCTAAACCTTTCTTAACCTGAGATTGCTCTCTAAGCTCGACACTTTTGTTCTTCACTGCAACCATCAAAAGGATCTACGTTACTCGTCTTCGAGGATCGGACATATACTGTACATCTAAGAAGGTGGAACGTTTCGAATATAATATCAGAAATACATGGTCTCTGGGTTCCGCTAGCGAGGAGCGTACTTTCATACTTGTGCGTACAGTCAGACTTGTACGTACATACAGTCAGACTTGTGCTTGAACAATGATTTCGGACTAACTTGAAATTTAATATAGATTTCTGAATGTAACGTCTTAGAATTCCTTGCATGAGCCTGGAGATCGATCTAAAGTAACGCAGAGTCATAAGCGAAATCTGTTTTACCCGTGAGCTCGTATTACCAAATCAGCAACAGGCAACCTTTAGAAGACTTATTCCTTTGATCGAGGACATAAAATATTGGTTTAGATCTACCTTTTAGACTGGCAATGTCGAGCCCTGCACGGCTGCAATTCCTAGAGCTTCGACCTCAAGGTATTAGTCAGCCTCCGACTAACAGCTGCAGGATCTTGATACTCTTGTGGATTGGGATAAACCTGTCGAGCTTGTGCTACCGTACGTTGAATGTTACTTCCGGCATAATTTTCAATTTTTGGAATAATCTGTAGCATATAGACCTGCAAAACCATCTGCTGATGCGAAAGCAGGGCCTGTAGCTGTCACATATGATCAAGAAATATTAGAATCAGTTTAAAGCTCATTGCTGCTTTATATGGCAAATTAGCTGCTGGCTGCAACTTCGGAACAAGCTGAAATAAATGGAAGAGAGAACAAGAGTGGAGTACTGTAGGAACAATATTCCAACAGCATCCTCTTCAGTTGACTTGCAGATTTGCTAAGTGAGTGAACAGTTTCAGTCTAACCTGCACACCAAACGCACACGATAGCCACGATCGATACTCCAATATGTTACTTGGATGTTATGGCGTAGTGGTTGTCATCTTGTTGCACGAATCATCAGACGTTAGTCATTTGTCAGTAGCGCAAATGCACCCTTTCTCCAGAGTAGTTGTTACCTAGAAAAATTTGTGATTTCTGTATTTATCTGCAACATGTATTGGAGGGGTATCAGAATTTGTCGATCTTTAAAATGACTCAAGCATTTCATGTCATCAAGTCGTCAGCTCGAATGAAGCCTAGAACTCTGGATGGTACTGTGCTTGTTGATCGTTCCAAACTCTGTAAACACGATTTGTGCTCTGCTCATTAGTTTACCGTTATTTCAAATTCTTCTAATTATCTTTGATTTCTCATGTTAGAATCGTCAATCATTCAAATCAACAGTTAGGTCTATTTGATCTGTACCTTTGATCTGGCACAGTGCGCGAGCGCTAAGCTCCAAAGTCAATGTGGTCAAGAAGCCCTGTGGACTTTCGAGTAAGCAGATGGCATCGATGTGCAAAGTGCGTGCTGTATAAGATAAAGATTCATCCACTCGGGGAACAGTTCAAGTTCAAAGCTTGATGAGTAAACTTGCATACCGACGGCGGTCTAGACAAGATTCAGGAAGATACTGAAGTTTGAAGTGATGATGGAAGATTATGTCTGCTTCTTGACTCAATGGATATACCAGATGCTTTTGGCAAGAGTAAAGAGTTGTAGATAAGCATCAATCTCATGCAAACAAAACCCAGAGACGATTTGCGAAAGGTTTTTCAGCGAATGGGAACATACTCGGTTTGTTCAATATATGCAGTTGCTTTCCGTATGTTGCAACCTTTCCCAGTTGCTCCTCATCGTCGATTATGCTGACGCTTTGGTGGCGAGAGTATTCGAGTGGCTGGTACAAAGGTCAAGGGCACGCAACTGGATATTGCGGCAAGGCTGGTCTTCCAGTTGTCTAGGCTGCATCACTATCCAATCAATCAGGACTTTGTGAACCTTTTCTGGTGATCTGCTCACTACAATATTGCGAACCCTCGAGTCTATGGAACGCCTTTCCACCAGTAATGATGCCCTGCACTTCCCGTCATATCTTTCCTAGATGTGAAAGGGCCAGAATCTTCTGCATGCATCTGTTTTCTACGATGTCGTTTGTTCGGGGATTGTGAAGTTTTTATTCCTTCCACACGTTCTCTCAGATCAGCACGACTGTCATACCATAGTCATATCTTTATTTCGACCTCATAACAAGCTGTCGACATTGGACGGTTGATTGCTTGTTAGTCCAGCCTTGATCAACCCACCTTTGAGCACATAGTTCTGATCATTGTTTCTTGGGACATTCTGATCATGCCTTCTATATGCACACCGAATGTCATGAATACGATAATATGATAGGATCTTTGTCCAAGTAATGAGATTTAATATGAGCTTCCAGGAAGCCTCTGATCTGAAAAACTGAGCTGGTTTGGTCTTCTTGGCTTTGATTTCTCTTTCAGTTTCAATCCTCTACTAGGATCCATCCATCGCACGAGTTTTAATATGCGCTTCCATCTGGATGGATCTTAGTAGAGGATTGAATTTGAAAGAGAAATTCAAGCCAATAAGAACAAACATGTCGAAGATCGTGGAAGGAGGGTTGAGTGAGCTATTTTTTAGAGCTTCTGGTCATTAGGGCTCAGTTTCTGGCTAAGTATGACTAAATTTCCGACCAGACCTTACTGAAGCTTTTCATCAACA